AAAAAAAAAAAAAAAGTAACGACACACAGTGTCGAAGAGGGTACAGGGAAATAGACGTTCCCTTACTGAGACCTCTCCCTTTCCCAGGAAGCAGGACTTTCCCTGCTAAAAAGGGAAAGACTGACTTAGGCAAAGCAAAGTGAGCTGCTCTGCATAAACCAGGATTAGAAATGGTACAGTCATTCTGAAGAACGATTTTGCAATGGGTCCAGAATCTATTTTACAAATACACACCTTTTCCCCCAGAAATTCCACTACCAGGAATTGATTTCAACAAATTGTTCACTCATTCAACACGTATTTATTGAACATAAAACATGCACCAGGTGGTGAGCTGGATGCTGGGGATACCAAGATGTACCTGCAAGGATTTTTTTTTCCTTGGGTTTTTGTAAAAAGAAAAAATTGGAAACAACCCGAATGTTGCACTACTGGAGATAATCTAAATAAAGTATGTTTCATCTACACAATGAAATGCTCTGCAGCTGGGAGACAAGCACTGAATCATATTCAGGCACTGAATATGATGTCACGGAAGAACATTTATTGACAGGGAAACATGGGTACACCACATTGCCAAAAGGAAAAAAAGCAGGTTAGAAAGTTGCACCAGTAACCCTGTTTTACAAATAAGATACATGTGTATATAAGCAACCTGATAAGATTCACCCCAAAATGTTATCTCTGGGTTGTGGAATTAGGGATCAACCTAATTTCCTTCTCCTGGCTCATCTGTATTAAATGTTTTCTTTATAATAAACATTATTACACAAATTACTTTTGCAATGCAACAAAAAAGTCGATTGCATTTCTGAAATACCAACCATAACTCTGCCAGGCTCTGAGGGAAGGAGACCCGGAGGAAGGGGGATACAGTCAGACACGTGTTCACCCTTTGATGTCATGAGGGTCGCTCCATTTCTGAGGATTTACTCCCCACCAGGCAGCTAAGAGACGCTTGGCACAACCTTTCCATCTGATCATCACAACATATAGTGTGTAGGGCTGGGGATTTAGCTCAGTGGTGCTGCCACTTGCCTCACAAGCACAAAGTCCTGAGTTCAATCCCTGGTACAAAAAAAGAAAGAGACAGTGTGTGTGGTGTGTGCTCCCACCTTGCCTCACAGTTACCCCTTAGCTGATGAGTGGCACAGCTGGTGCTGGAGCCTCCAGCCCCTTAGCTGCCTCCGCCTGTTCCTGGGAAGGGCAAAGGACAGACCTGAGCCTTGAGGCCCTCTCTCTTGCAGGCCGGTTCTATGCTGGCCCCTATCCTGCTTTCCTGCAGCTGGCGCAGGAGGCGACAGGAGGACAAGTCAGAAAGGGAGGGGACTCAACAAGCGGAAGGCATGGCGCTGAAGGCCAGCTGGCTGAGGTCAGGGCACAGGGTGAACTGGCCAGGGGACTCCTCGCCTGCTGGGCGACTCTCAGGAAGCCCAACCACATCCGGCCCCAGGAGTTCCCATGCGCTCTGCACCCAGAGGCAGCCCCCTGAAATAGCAGGAGGAAAATAGGCGCCTTGTGGGACTGGCTCCAGCCCAGTGACTGCTGGCCAGTCCTTTCCTCCTCTGTGTCTCCTGGTTGGTGTGAGGAGGCGGGTGTGGGCTCCAAGGCCCTCCCAGACCTGGAGTCTGTAAATCTGTGGGACTTCCTTACATAGGGCCTGGCAGGAAGAAGAAGGGGGCAGGCATCCCCACCCAGCTCCCCAAGGAGCTCCCTCTTCTTCCCCTCAGCTCTGTCCCACTGCTATTTTCAGAACACACCACGGGGAGCGTCTCCACAAGTCCCACTGCGTTGCAAGCTCCAGGTAAAACATAGCAGCCCATTCATTACACTCCAGCAAGAGTGAGCCAGGAATTTCTAGACAAGACAGCTGGCTAGACAACCTCTCCCCTCCCTATTAGCTGGACTGGTTTCTCACCATTTCCATTACAGCCCAAAGTGGTAGCTTACAACACAGCACAAAAGGTTGCTGAGTGAGATCAGGAGAATCATCTAAGGCCATCTGCGTCCCTTCCACACCACCAACTTTCCGTCACCAATTCTGAGCCCTTGGCTAAGTTCTAGCCTCTGTCTGGTCTTAACGTCTCTTAGGGGAAGCTTTTCAGTTCCCATTCAAAGATTTTATGGTTCTACCAAATTTCTAGTTACTTAGCTTCAGTGCTATACTGTCTCTGCTTTTAGCTACATGTTGGATTTTGTTCCTAAAGTCTTCTGAGAGTTGATTACAGGGCTCAGAACACATTTTCCCTTTGCAACTGTGTCATAAACAGTGGCCACTTTCCTAGGCAATCCTGCTTAACCCTCAATGTTCTTCCACCAAGACAAAAGCGTAGAAAAACTATATTGCAATAATAGAATTAAACCAAAATTGAAAACCTCTAACATTTAAGACATCTTTTTAGAAAATTTATCTAGAGTCATGTTGTCTGAATAGTATAAGAGATGGGTGCTAAATGCAATAAAAAAATTCAATGGCAACTTTTGAAAGAGACTTCTAACCACACTAGAAATGAAAAATTAGTACATACTCTACTTGAAAATTAGCTTGATGCCATAAACTGGTAGTTATTTGGAAAGGTTAGAGAGGGTCTCCACTTTTTCTCTATTCTGACCCTTATTGTTTTATCCCAATAGTTTGGGATCTGGTGATTCCTGGAGAGCATTTGGAATTCAGCTCCTTCGTTTTTTGTTTTTGTTTTGTTTTGTGCTTTTTTGGTAAGAAAGAAACGACAAGATATGTGAAGTTATTCACCTGGGTCACACAGTAAGTCTCTTGACCGCTCTTGTTTCAGAATCTTACTGATTTTATGAGGCAAAAGGCTCAGGGAGAGGGGAGCCCCACAATGTGGAGAAGAGAAACATAGCTCCCGTTCTTATGAGGCATCTTTTTCTCAAGGGATGCCCATGTCAGCATGGGAATATGTTACCCATGACCCTGATGTGAACTTGGCCAGACTACATCATAAGCCAAATGGGGGAGGGATCCATCCTTGCTGCGGCAGCTGCACAGCTATGGGGTAACAGAAAAAGCTCTCAGCCAAGGGAGTCAGCTGATCTGAGTTCTACTCCTGGCTCTGATACTAACTTGGCCAGGTCAGTTCCCCTTTTAGATCCTGTTTCCTCATCTATATTCTAAACATAGGAGGGTTGAACTGAATAATCCAACTCAATTCTCCAACATCTACTGAGCACCTACTATGGACCAGGCAACAACAGAATCAAAGACAAGTCAAACCTACCCTCCACTTGCTCCTAGGCAGCTCCCAGTCTTGCAGGCAGTGTATGAGGCATGTTCAAAATATCCAGTAAATGCTCAAATTAAAAAATATATAGTAAAAGACACTTTGCCATTAATCCCCTTCACTTTGAACACATTTATCCCACATTTTTGCTATATTCCAAAGCAGTTCTGCAAGTGCTCTTTCATGATTGTCTTTAGTTACACTGTTTTGAGTCCCTCAGTGCCCTGCATTGATTCCAAATGTTTCCCTTTCATAGTCATATTGACTTTAGAGAAGAACCAGCAGTCACCTAGTACCAGATCTGGTGGATGAACTGGATGAGGACATACCATAATGTTTCTATAAGCCCGCCTCTCTTTTGCATGGCACTTGGCAGCAGCATTCACTGCATTTCTGATCAAGCCCCATAAAGACATTTACAAAACTGAACTTCCAGAACGGCTTCAGAAAATGGCCAAGTGTTCAGGAAGCAAGGGAAAATATTTTGAGGGAGATTAATGACAATGTGTCTTTTAATGTAATAAATTTTAACTTAAATGTTCATTGATATTTTGATCACATCTTATATAATGCACGCATAAGGGTTTTTTACATCAAGCATAAACGTAGAGTGTAGTGAAGAGATCCATTGGTATAGAACCCTGCTAACTCATGAGAGACCTAGTGTTTCCATACTTTCCTTCTCATAGCAGCCTGTCCTCCTTTCCTGGGACCTCCTCCCTACCCAACCTTGGACTTTCTGACTTGCCATCTTCCTTCTAGAAGAAAATTTCAGCTGCAATACAAAGAATCCACCATATGCTTGGACTTTGCTTTGAGACCCCCATTCACTGTATATTTTGATCACTCTTTGTATATCTGCCTGACACACTACGCTGAGGATGAACAAAACCCTCTGGGAAAGCATAAGGGGAAGCAAAGGCTTCTGGTGTGTACCTAAGAAAGGTGTTGGCCCTCCAGTTTTGAAGACTGCACCTTGTAAGGTCAGCAGAGATGGTCAGGCCATCCAGGCAGAAGGAACAGCCTCCATATGAATGGGCACAGGGACTTTGGAGAAGGTGAAATTGTCCTGTGTGGCCAGGCTTGAAGAACAAAGCAGAAGGGCAGAGTAGCCAAGAGAGCCTGGAGAGCCAAGTGGAGACCTGGGCTTTATATAGATCATCACGCTTCCTGTGATGGCCTTTAGGTAGGACTGTGCCTGCCCAGCCTCCCCAGTCCCTCCCAGCAGTCAAAAGAAGAGTCAGGGCCATGCTGCCCTGGCTTGGGATCCTAACCACCTACCCGTTGTGCGACCTTGGGCAAATTTCTTAACTTCTCTAAGATGCAACATCTTCATCTATAAAGTGGGTATAATGGGAGTAAACCTGTAACAGGATAATGAGCCTCATAAGGCTATAGTGGAGATAAAAAGAAACAATGTGTGTCAAAAGCTGGACTCCAGCCCTGGCTCACAGTATGAGTGCCTGGTAAATTACCTAGTGTTGTCACTCTACCCTAAAGCAAAGATCTGGGAGCAGCTGGGAGGGACGGCAAGCAGCCCTTGTCAGAGACAGACTTGGGAAAGACAAGAGCACGACAGGAGTGGGTAGAGCTGTTCTCTGTTCCTTACCAGCAAAAAGAAGAGCAAGTCGGCAAAGAAGGCAGTCTGCCCACAGCCAGACCAGCATCAAGGGAGAGAGGCGGGGAAGCTGCAGGCTGCCTGGAAAACAATTGCGCTTGTTGGAGAAAAGAGGTTTGCTCCTTTGGAGGGAGAGCTGAAATCCAATCCATTTGATTCTCAGACACTTAGAGCTGAGATCTTAAGTCAGCCAATTAGCAAAATCTGGGCACAAAATCCTGCGGAAGGAGCCAGTGACAGCGGACTCTCAACTGAGCTCAGGTCAAAGCCTCTTGGTGCTGATGCTAAGACAGCCAGGCATGAGCCCGAAGCTGCCCCCTTCTACCTCTGACAACATTTCTGCATCAGCTGATCCTCTTAAATGCCAATCTCTAAAGGGGAAGAGCACAACCCAACCATTCCAGCACCCCTGGGAGCCCATCTTAGGAGCTCAGTCTCATCAGACTATTTTTACCTCTTGCCGGCAGCAACTGATCTTTCCAGCCTGCGCCACCCCGCAGGGAAAATGAACACTAGAAGTTCTTCTCCACCAAATGGAGAATACGGAATTTCATTTTACTTGTCCAAAAAGTGTTCCCTCTACAGCTAGATGGGCCACCACTTCTAGTACGCACTGGTATCAGCCTCCTGACTCTTCGTGGATAAAAGGAATGACTTCTCTATTTCTATTCCTAAAAGCAAAGCTTTACATCTAGAAAGAGTAATGGATCAGTCTGGAAAACCTCAGCTTCTGGACTAATTCAGCCACCTACCAGCTGTGTGACCTAGGATAAGTCATTTAATTTCTCAGAGCCTGGGCACCTTTGTCCATAAACTGAGTTTGCCAGGAGGCTTAGGGGAAATGATGCCTGGGAACCCTGGCTGCCATCTCCAAAGTACATGCCGTGGGGTTCTCACTGTGAAGGACCCTCCCATATTGCACAACTGCCTGCATCTTCCCTTTGCAGAACCTTCTTGATGCCTTGGTACCCTGTGTGACAAATTACGGCTTTGGTGGCAGAATTTAGGAGAAAAAAAAATAACATTACAATAAAGAATTAAGAAAAAGACGTACACAAATCAGTGTCATTATTTCCTAAAGGTCCATGAGTCCCAACTCCTGAAGGGCCAGGAGACCCAGGCATGACAGCACAGAAATGAGTGTTTCAAGAGACCTAGAGTCCGAGATGTAAGAACACATGAAAACAGGATTAGAGGGTGTGTGGGGAACTAAAAGGGCCACTTTGTATTCAAATTGCACAGATGGCCTTTTTGACAATACATGGTTGTTCTTCCATCCTCCCAACTCCTGGGCCCATCAGGAAAGAGGCCATTGTGTGCTTCTTAGTGTGATTTATGGGGTGGGGAGGGGCCCGACCATGTTTCCCGTGATTATGACTCTCACATGCAATTTCGATAGCTTTTTCATCATCTTGAACAGCTGGGACAGCCCAGGATGCTGCAGAGCAATGGCCACCAGGCCGTATTTCATCTTCACAAGCCCGTGGAGCCAAATGAGAAGAATCAATTCACGAGGCAGAACAGCAATGGTGCTGTGGCTCACCACAATTGCTGGGCAAACAAGTCCAAGGCCCAGCAAGAGCGGTGTCCACTTCCCCACCGGCCGGTGGGCCTGGAACCTTGATGAGAGTGTCAGAAAAAACTGGGAGGAACGTCCTGTCCCCAGGGCTGGCTGCTGCATTCAGATTCTCCATTTCAGAGTGCCTGTGTTCTAAACCTATCTGTGGACAGAGGCAGGTCACCAGGCTCAGGACAGACAAGCTTACTGCCTTCCCAGACAGGCGATTCCCCCATGTCTCACATTCCCCTTAATGTCATTTTATAAGAGAATCAAATGAAATCAAAGTGCAGCTTGCTGTCTCCGCAGACCCAGCAGCTCAGCTGCTCAGATTCACCCTGTGGGCCAAGCCCTGGCAGGCAGAGATGCTGTAAACCATCTCTCCCCATCCAGGTAGAATCTGTCTCCCTGCTGGGCAGGGGCATCCCACCCCCTATTAAACAGTTGTACCAATATGTCTGATTTTTCCTATATGGAAGGTAAGAAACATCCTCTCTTCTAAGGCATCGTTTTTGGTGTTCAGCTGAGCAAACTCTCAAGGGCACAAATATCGTCTCTAAAGACACTGAGATCGTACACAACATAGAGCTTGTCCATGGTTAGGGATTTCTCTGACCTGAACCATCTCTCCACCCTCTCTTATCTCGTTTACTATGCAAATGACCCCATCATTTAGACTTCTTTTGTACATAAAACATGTCTCTCATCTGTAATTGTGGATTTCCCTCCTCCTAGGTTTTAGCAGTTAGAAGTAAGAGCTGCCCGACCCTGAGTTCTAGCTGGGGCTGCAGCAGGCAGCAAGTAGGCTGGGCTCTCATTCCTGGCCCTTGGTAGGTCTTCCTTTCACTTTACACTCTCTGCAAGAGTTGCTGAGCCACACCCAGCCCTCATCCCTGACCCTTAGAGTCCCACAGAAAGAAAAACAAGTGAGTTGTCAGAGCACTGAGTTCCAGCTCCCCATATGACAGCCAAGCACAGGACGGAGAGAGAGGTAGTACAGGCAACCCCTGCAGAGACCTGGGGACCAGGCTGAGTACTGCACACCCCCAACTCCAGAAACTCTCCCTAAACTCAGCACTGGTCCCTAGTTCAGGCTGGCCAGAAGGCTCTCTGTAAGGAGGGCCCCAAATCTCATTCACAAGACCAGATGAAGGATGAGGGCAGTGGTGGAGTAGGAGAAGGAATCTCTTCTCATCCCAGAGTCTGGCATTCACATGTCCAATACCCCAGCCACTCTCCAGGATAAGGCACCATCACCCCATAGGTGATGGACTGTGGGGCTCCCTAACTGATCCAATGCTCACCTGATACCCTCCTATCTACCTTCAGAGCTTGCAGAAATGTTCCTGAGATTGTGTCACTCCCTCAAAGGCCTTTCATGGCTCCCTGCTTCATCTAGAATAAAATCATTAAAATATTCACCACCTGAGTCTTACACAACCTGGCCTTCCTTCCTTCCTCCTCACTAGGCTATAGCCACACTGCCCTCTCCTAGCTCCTCCAGCACACCAAGCCCCTTCCCATCCCAAGAACTCTTGCATGCTGTTCCATCTACTTGGAATGCTTTCTCCCAAATCCTTGGCTGGTTTGCTCCTTTCCAGCCCATAGGTCTCAGTTTACAAGCTATGTCCTTCCTTAGCTGTACCCTTACAAGGAGCAATCTAGATACAATGTCCTCTAAAGGCATTTGCTCTCCCAGGGTGTGATCACGTGTGTGCTGGTGTTGATTTATTTAATGCTCACTCCCTACTAGGGCTGGAATCTTTATGAGAGCAGAAGCCATGCCCATCTGGTTCTCCAAAGTATCCCCCAAGTTCCTAGCACAGAGCCTACTACCAAAGAGATGCCCCCAAATATCCATTGAACGAACAAATTAATGTGTCCAAGAGTGAGTGAATGGGTGGAGATGTCTTCGGGCTGCGCAGGTCATGGCACTGTTCTCCATTGGGGTGACCTTTCCCAATCTGCTGCTGCCCCCAAGGTGGGTGCCTAAGATGCCATTTAGCCTCCTTCTCCTTGGAGGAAACAAGCTTCTGAGTCTTCTCCATCCAGCCAAAATAATGCTTCTCCATCAGAAACTTCCTGTTGCCAGTCTGCACATGCCCATAGGGCTTCTCCCGTTGCCAGTCCACACACACACCCTCAGGACCACTCCCTGAAGATGACCCTAGGCCCACCATCTTGGTTCTCCGTTTTGGGTCCAGTTGAGGTGAGGTTACTGTGTGGTAAGGGATGCCCCCAGAAAGGGTTAAGTTGCCAGAAGCAGAGTCCCGCCCTTGGGTTTGCTCAGCCAATCAGAGTCTGTCCTGATGAGGTAAAGCTTCTATCCTGGGTAGCATTGGTGGAGTTGCCTGGCCCCATCTCCTGCTGGAGAGAGCCGTAAGGGTGGAGTTTCTGTGGAACCAGACAGAACTGGAATTAGCTCGCTATCTACTCAGGCAAGGGCTGCCTGACTCCAAGACCTGCCTCTGTTCTTTTTTAAGGTACTCAGTACCTGGTATTTCTGAGGCCCATCTCTAGCTGTCAGAGAGGAGATGACAAGGTGCCACATACCTCAGCATCTCATCTAGGAAAAGTCTCACAGCCAGGGCAGATCCAGGAGGCCTCAGGTTTCCCTGCTTGGGCCCTGGAATCCAGCAGGTAGCTACCAGGAAATGGCATGGAGCAGTCATCAGATGTGCTCAGAGCACCAGCATGAACTTTCATAAACCAGGACACCAGATGACTCTTACTCTGTAGACATCACTTACAATTCAATGACAGAATGAGAGCAGGATAGCTCCCAGAGGTCTTCTCACGCACCACTCTGCCCAACACATCACAAGTATAATCCTCACAGGAACCCCCTTGATCCCCCCACTTTACTGATGAAACGCCTGAGTGTCAGACAGGCCAGGTGGTTTGCCTGAGGTCACATTACTACCGTGTTGTTTTGAACTGTTGCATATTTGTCTCCTCGACTAGTGATCTGAGCACAGTGTGACAGATTTGGTGGTGTATTCCCACAGTGTGACATGGTGGTGTATTCCCACCATGGATCCTGCAGTGCCCGGGGTCCACCCTGAGGACGGGGCCAGTCCAGCTGCATCGCACCCCACTACCTTCTTGCCCCTGAGGGCTGCACTCAGAAGGCTTCTTGGAGCTCAGTCTAGCCTGTGTACATGGAGCTACGCAGCAAGACACTGAATGACACCTAGGACCTGCCCCACCAGACCATTTTTAGATCTGCAGGCATGGCCTTTAATGCTTGGATCACCACCCTGATGCCTTCATCATCTCACCCCCTTAGGAGAATTCTGTGAGGACAAAGACCAAGTTTCACTCATCAGTGTGACCCCAAAGGACCTAAACCAGTTGGGGGAGAATGCATTCTTTGTGTATATTTGATTGAATAGCCAAAATAATGCTTATCTTCCCCTCTCCCTGCTGCCCCGCTTGGAACCATACTGGCCACAGGGGGACCAGCTCTGAGTCAATCAAAATGAGAAGCTTCCTAGCAGTGCTCAGAGTATAGTGCAGGGAGCATAGTACAAGTTATCCAGGACTACGATAAAAGGTGGATGCCTTCCAGGGACAGGCAACGAAAAAGCAAGAGAGGTCCAGAGCTCTGAAGGGGAAGAAGGAGTGCTGAGCAGGAGAAGGGCAGCTGGGACAGAAGAGGCTGCCAGTCATTTATTTCTACAAAAAAGCCCTACCTGTAGTGGTCACTAAGAGCAAACAGGAGAAAGGCAACACAACCCCGAGAAGGCATGCAGAGCAGCTACACCTGCCTCAGGAGTCCATTCTGCCACAGCTGGGACCCCACACTATCAGGTCATAGGCCACTGGCCCCTCAGACACAGCCCAGAAAACCTATGTCTGCCCCAACCCCTACCCCCATCCCAAAGGAAGCACAGGTCACAAAAGTCAAGTCATGCAGGACTCTTCAGGGTATGGTTTCCTGATGGAGACTGGATGGCCAAGGCTCTCAGCTTTCATAATCCCAAAGCCTGAAAAATTGGAAACAGCTACTTGACCAGTGCTAATGGGACCAACTGAGGCTATGGCAGGAAGTGGTTGCCAAAGATTACATAACAGATAGTGACACTCAGGCCCTTCTGTTGTTCTTTGAGCCCACCTTTCTCTATTCCCTCCATTCTCCCCAATAACCATCTATGTCATTTTCAGGGCAAGTCACATTTATATAGTTTGTGAATTTGAGATGGCACAGAATCCCCCATCTCAAGGATTAGCAACACTGTTGAAAGGAGTAGGGTTTTGCGGAGTTGCCTCATGAACCCCCCTTTCCCTGGGAGGTATTTAAGTGGGTGAGAACCTCGGCAACAGTTTCCCTTATCCTAAAGGTGGCAAAGCATTCCCCAAGGAACACAAGGCGACTGACAGGCACACGGCTCAGCCAGTACTCAAAGCATCAGTCAAGCAGGACCTTTATGCCTGGAAAGCGAGAACTAGCTCTGCGTAGCCTTCCTCTGGTCCCTTGGAGGACTGTGAAGGAGGTGCAGGGTCACCCTGAGGCCGAACACAGGTGGATGAAGGAGGTTCACAATCACCCTGGAGCTGAGCAAAAGTAGATGAAAGGGCAGGCAGGCTAGGCAACTACCTGGGCCTACTCATTAAAGTCACTAACATATTCCTGGACTGATATATGGCTGGAGAGTTATATTTACTGAACTTCTCTCAAGAAGCTTTCGGAAAGTAACTGGAAAGAATAAATTGCTAATACTCTGAGTGCAGAGGAGGTGGGGATGGGAAGACTGAGCAGTAAGATTCCCCAGTTCCATTACTGCCACATAAGGAGGGTGGGCTGAGGGAGCATGTAAGTCAGGGCAGCTCAGTCTCAGGCCCTGGGAGTGGTTCTGAGGCTGTCTCAGCAGTTAGGCCGGCTTTGCTTTCTGCTGCCCAGCAAATGGCCTCTTCACTAACCTCATTTTGAAAAAACTGTTGCCTGCCCAGAAGGCCCACATAACTTGGTGTAGCTCTGGAGCCTTTCCAGGGTCAGCCAGGCACATCTGCAGCTCTGCAGGGTCCAGAGCCTGTCTCAGACCCGCCTGCCCCCAGGATCCCACAGCCTTGTACCCTCAGATGGACAGTCTCCTAGGCACTGCAAGGCCATGGCCAACACCTCCAGACGCAGTGAACTCTGAAGCCCAGGCTCAAAGAACTCCCTCCCCGCAAAAATAACAAAGCCCAAAGAAAAGAAAGTGGGCAGGAAGATGGGGGGCTGGCACATGTTCAGACATTGGACATCTCAGGAGCTGCTCCAGTGAAGGCAGAGCAGCCTGGACTCTGACAGTGGCCAACTCCAGATCAATGGGCCAGAGGAGACCGTAGCCATGGTGACAAGTCTCTGCACAGAAGAGAAACCTGACAGTGGGCCTAGCCAGTGTACCCTGGGTGGTTGGCAGGGGCAGTGTAAACCCCAAAGATGGTCAAGTGAGCCTACTACATGCCAAGCACTGCGCTATGAGCTATATATACATCTTCTCCTGTAATTCTTACAACTCTCTGGGGGAGGAACTAATATCCCCAAACTAGAAAGAACAGAGCAGTAGAGTGACTTGCCCGAGGTCACACTGCCAGGTAGCTGCAAAATTGACTCAAGGGTCTTACTGTCTTCCCTCATCCTTGTCCCTGACCGGTGTAAAACAAGTTAACTTTCAAAGTCTGGGATGCTGTGATCCTCAGAGTCTCGCTCCTTTCTCAATGTGCTGGGGAGCTGCAGGAGAGACTGGTAGCCACCTACCTGTTTCCCACCTCTCATCCAATGCCCCTTTCAGTGGCACACTGGGCCTGACACACTGAGAAGCAACAAGGACAGCAAATTCACAGACTGCAACCCCCTCTTATTTCCTACCTTCCCTCAGATCTGGCAAAGCAACTAACTTGGCAACTTCTGCAGCAACCACACCAAATCCCCCGATAGTCAGCACTTTTAACAAGAAAGGGGACCTGAACTCTCACAAATGGAAACATATAACTGCCTTGTGGCAGGCATCGGGGTGTCAAAGATCCACCTCCCATCCCATCGCCCCCCACAGCCATTGAGCAGTGCCTGGCCCACATCAGCCTCTCCCCCATCAGTCTCTAATCTTCCCTGACACTCCAGCTGGCCAGTCCCAGCCCCTAGCAGTCCAAATGTGGTTCCACTTGACTCTGACCTACATTGAACTATGACAGTTTCTGCTGCAAACAACCCCTCAATTACATCTGCCTCGGGCCAGTGTTAAACACAAATGTGCTGGCCCCGGGCATAGCTTCCCCAATGGCAGAAGGAGGCCGCCTGCCAGGCAGCAGCAGGAAGGCTGGCCCAAATTAAACCTTGCCATTGGCAAACCAAAGAGCAGATCTGAGAACTGATGGGGTAAGGTCATTTCGGGTCCATTGCTCTACCCAAGCATTGTCAAACCCACTCAACAGACCTAAGGAAAAGCCCAGGGGGAGAAACCTTAGGGCACAGGCCCCTTGCCAAGAGCACGTAGCCCAGCTGCACAGGCTGAGCTTGAGCTGACCCTTAGCTCAGCTGGGAAGCTCAAGGGCCAGGTTGGGGAAGCAAGGAAGCAAGAGCGACAGCCGACAGCCACTGGCAAGGACCTTACCTTCCTCTCGGGAGGTGAGGCTGCCAGCTGTTGCTGCTTCGCGATGTTCTCCGACAGGCACCAGCACACTCTCTTCTTCTGCTCCTGCGAGTGTGCCTCCAAAGTGAATAAGCACTCTGCCTTCTGACGTCAGGGAAAACAGAGAAAGGGATGGTCAGGGCTGCTCAGATTGAGGGGCTCCAGGGTCCAAGCCCATCCCGGGCTCCAGAGGGCGAGGCTGTAGCGGGGAAGGGTGCGTCCACTAACAGCCATAAATGCACACTAATCCCAGGTGACACAGAGGCAGCCAGAGCAGCAGGGGATCGGTTGGGGGCCAGCTAGGGAGCCACAGGCCCATGCGTTGGGGGAGGGGAGGGAAGCAGTGGCTCCCCACACAATAGAAGCCTGTGGAGAGCTCAGGCCAGAGATGATGAGGTCACCCCCCCACCAGCAGCACAGAACCACAGCTGGGGAGCATGGGAGAACCGAGAGTGCCAAGGCTTCCCGCTGATGTTCTATGGAGCCAGGACCTTCCCACAGCTCACAGGACCCCTCTCCCTCTCACCACACTCCTGGAATCAAGGTTAGATGGGTTGAACGGACACACCAACAGGACTGAAGCAACAACTCAAGTCCCTTCCAGACACGCTTGGGAGGCAGCCCTGTGCCCCTCTGCAGCCCACCACTGCCCACCATGTGAGCAGGGTCTCATCAATGGCCAGTCAGCCCCATTGAGCACAGCAATATCTCTGGCACCGCTGTCGTTTAAACGCCACCAGCTAGACTAGAAACTCCCTCTAGGAGGCACTTTTCATCTGGGTCTAGCACCACGCATGCAAGTGCTGGCCTCAGAAAGCTCTGGCTGCTAGAGGAACTTCCGGGATGCGAGGTCAAACCCAGGGCAGCGCTGGCACAGTACCAGGGAGTGGGCCCCTTGAGCATTCAGGACATGCAGTGGGCAGGCAGGGCGGGGCCAGGAGCCCAGGGTTACCAACCCCCACCAAACACTCAGACTAGGGGATGACAAGCTCTTTCTGGCTCCGAAGAATTTGATTATAACCTCACGGGGCTGCGATTCATGAGCTCAGCCAGAGAATGAACAGCACAAGCCGGAGGGCTTGGAACAGAGAAAAAGACCTGGTTCCTATGAGTCCTTCTTCCTTTTGCAGTTAGACAGACTTTGCCACTTCCTAGCCATCAACCTGGGGAGCTTTCTGTAAAGTGGGATTGATAATGATGTCGCCTACATCCCAGAGCCATTAGGAGGACAGGCAATGAGAACAATCCCAGGAGCTGTGCACATAGTAGCTATTGCTATTATTCAGCAATGTGTTCATTTAGTAAATGTTTAGTGAGCATGTACTATGTTTAAGAGACTATGTAAGGTAGGACATAAAGAGGTAAAAAGACTAAGCCCTTGAGGTTAGGCTGGGGGGGTGCAATAAACGATTAAGTCAACAATATTACAAATTGTGAAAATGCCACCAAGATCACAAAGGGGGAGGTTGAAAAGGTCAGAGAAGAGCTCTGACGCTTGAGCTAAGGCCTGAAAAACAGAAGCAGACTGCAGGGAAAGAGGTTGGGCCAGGTGTGGTGGTGCATAACTCTGATCCCAGCTACTCAGGAGGCTAAGGCAGAAAGATGGAAAATTCCAGGCCAGTACAGGCAACTTAGAGAAACCCTGTCTCAAAAATAAAAAAAATAAAATAAAAAGCCTGGGGTATAGCTCAGCAGTCCTTGAGTTTAATGCCCAGTATCCTACTACCAAAAGAAAAGAAAAATGTAAAGTGCTTGGGAGCTGTTCCCAGCAGAAAGGATAGCGAACACCTGCGCTAGGAAGCTCTTGACATCATCTAATGGCACATTTGGGAAATTTTTCTACCCTGCATCCAATCCAGCCCTCGGGAGTGTCAAGTGGGGCCACCCCCATGCTGTTTCCCCTGGGTGCCAGCCTCTCCTGTGGGAAAAGTACTCAGAAACTCATCTTCCTAAAAGCCTGGGAGAAGAGGAGGAAAAAATGCCCTGCCTGCTGCAGGCCCCAGGGCACTAGGTGGGGACATGAGGCAATCCTGCCTCTTCCACGGAAGGCTCCATGATTCCAGAACTTTCCCACTCACTGCAGGGGAAGGTGCAGGATGCCACCCAGCAAAAGATCCCAAGATATCGCAGGGAAAACCCAGTGGAGCGGGCACTGTCCAGAAAATCCTCTGCTTCCTGTTTCATGGTGGCTCTGGTGAAGGGAAAAGTAGGAGGGGACTGCGCTCCCTTGCAGTTTGGAAAAGCTCTCACTGCACATGGCTGGCCCTGCCCTGAGTCTCCCAACAGTGCTTTCAATCAGCCCTGTAGGCTGCAGCAAATTCCTCAATCTCTCAAAGCCTCAGTGTCTTCTGTAGCTCTGAAGAAGAAACTCTGCCTTAATAATAATCTTTTTTATCCAATTATCAATTTTCAAAAGCACTTTTCCATCCATGATCTCATTTTAATCTTGACAATTCCTTGAAGTAGGGAGGGCATGGATTGTTGTTCCTATTTTATAGGAGAGGAAAATCGGGGCTCAGAAAAACAATGGGCCTCCCTGAGTCTCAGGGCCAATAAGCCCAGGACACTCCAAGTCTTAGAGAACCACGTGCTGGAATTTTATCTCCAGAACCTGAGGAGGCCACACTCTGGGCTGACAGGACTGCTGTTTTACAGATGGGGCCTGGAGGCAATCAACCATCAGAGTAAACCTTAGGCCTTTTATTTGCTAAGCAACTCAGAAGTCACTGGCAGCTTTTTGTACAACTGCCCCTGTCCTACACGACAGTCCCTACCCTACAAAACTGTAAGAAAGTCTCCCCAGGGATGCTTTCATAGCAACCCAGCTACATACTCCTAATTCTGAGACAGCCCCTCACACTCCACGGCTCTCAGAGTACCAAGCACTTTATTAGTGGCGCTTTGGTATTTTTTCCAACAGACTACTCTGTTTTGCTAACACCCACAAGAACCACACCTTTGGTAGGCCATCTTGCTCTGCCTGGAGTGGTAACCAGATCATTTGTAATGGTAAGTGAGATTCTAAAGACACTGAGGCCAAAGCTTCCTTTGGAAGCCACATTTTCTCAATCAGGGGTGGAAACCACACTGCCTGTCTCAGCAGGAGACTGCAGGACTGGCTCTCTGGCTCTGAGGGCTTAGAGCTAAAAACCTCAGAATGCTACAGAACCCAGAAGACTTCTAGGCCGAAGGACATAAATCCAGACCTAGCCCAGGGTGGGCGGCTGGCTGTCACAGAAAGACAAACATTTGTAGGAGCCAGAGCTTTGAAGATTGGCCTGGCCAAAAGAGGAAGAGCACTGACCCAGCTCCTTGCAGGGAGGCTGAATTCCCATCTCCTTGAATCTGTCAAAATTGGTAGGGCCTCATTTCCTATCTGGCTTCTCCCACAGAGGGACCACTTCACTCAATCCATCTTGCTGATTTTAACACTGACTTGTACCATGCCCTTATAATCAGGCTTCATAGCCAAGGTGCCCCAAAGGCATTGTCACAAATGCCTTCAAACACCACACCTAGTTCAGGGTGGTCAACCACATATAGACCCCTCAGCTGCACAAGCCCCATCTAACAGCACTCAAATCTAATAGACACCCACCTCCTCTTGGCCTCTCTACAACCTCCATGTTACCCAACCTCCTTGTTCCCGGATTAGTTTTATCTTCATGAAGCCCCTTCAGCTGTGACTGTCGTGTGTCCATTTGTTATGACAAGCATGCCCTCATTCAGTTCGGTTCTCCTGATGCCCTGACGTGGGTAGGAAGGAACAGTCTGTTCACCCTTCTGCAAATCATCAAACTAAGACTCAGAAGGGTTAAGTCATACAGAGGATTCAGTTGTCTTCTACCTCTTCCAGAGCCTGTGATCTTGCTGTATTTGTATAACTGTGTACATGCATTACAAAGAATGTGAGACATTATTCTCAATTTTTTTAAAAGATCAATAAATCATTTGTGAATGCCTCTAATGGAGGGTAAATGAATATTAAAAGCCCTTCCTCCTGCCATGAAGCTGGCAATAATAATAGCTGCCATTCACTGAGGACTGTGTGCCAGGATCTGTGCTAAGTGCTTGGAGGCAGTGTCTTATTGAATCTCATTTAATCATTACAACAACCCTGCATGGTCAGCCTCTATGCCTTGTGTCAGAGAAGAGAGTGTACCTCGCCCCCAGATCATTCAGGAAATGGCAGAGCCAAGATTTAAATCTAGGTCTTCCTAACTCCAAAGCCACACTCTTAAATAAACAAAACAGAGCCAGTGTTAGATTCCAGGTGACCGAATGGTCCCCTACCAATGTGTCCATTGATCCAATGCCCTGAGTGCTCCAAAGCCAGGCATGGGCTGCATCTGTCTTATGATTTGCAAGGGCTGAGGGACACCTATCCAGGGGACTAGGGACCCAGAGCCAAGGACTGCTTAGGGCAACCCTTCCCAGGACCTGGCAGCTGGGAATAATCAGAGCTGCTATCACCCAGGAACTGGAACTTTCTCAATGCAGAGTGAAAAAACCTCCCCAAACCCCGACACTTCCCCCCGGTTTCTTCTTGGGGTATCCCTGAATGTCAGGTAATGAAAAGAATCCACCTATGGGAAGTTCTAAGTAAGATGTGCACTTGAGAATCTCCATGGGGTCCGAACCCGCCCATATCAAAGTATCCCAGGCTACAGAGCAGGCAGGCAGCTTGTCTTCCCTGCTTCTCAGCAGCCCATTAGAAGAGAAAGGCTTCTGGCTCCCTGTGAGTTTCAACCTCCCAGCCCTGCAGGGTCAGATCACCTGGCACTTTACTGAAATAAAAGGCTCCAAATCAATATCCCTTCATCAATCTTTGGACAGCCAGGAGGTCACAGATCCAATGGAGCAGAAGTGCTTTTCTCTGGGAAAAACAAACCCAGCCTGGCAGGAAGAGCTCTTGGAATTAAAGAAGTCAGAGTCTCATTTCAGAGGCTGAGGAGAGAACTGGAATCCAGAGTGCAGGCTCCACAGGGTGGGGGAACCCAGCCCAGTTCACAGCTTTTCTAGGCTGCACCCTGCTCTAGGCTCTGTGGAACCAGACACTGCCAGCACTGAAGTGACGCCACTGGCCACTCCCTATGCCCTGGCGGGGATCTGGCTGGCACAGGGGAAAACATCCGGTGCCCTCAGGTCTGCATTCCAGGTGGCTGAGTCCCCAGCTCTTCCCTGACAATATGCACTGCTTCTTTGGAACCCTTGGCTTCCCCAAAGGGAACTTCTCAGCAAGAGTCAGTTCATACACCCCAGGCCTTGTGCCTCCTATTTGCCAAGAACTGAAAATGGAAGAAACACTTCTCTCCCCACCTCACTCCCCACTAGGGATTAAACCCTGGGCCTTTGCACTGAACTATATCCACAGCCTTTTACTTGTTTTTTTTCTGGATAGTCTCACTACTACATTGCCCATGCTGAGCTCAATTTTGCAATCCTCTTGCCTCAGCCTCCCAGAGTGCTGGGATTACAGGCATATGCCCCAACTCTTGGCTTTTTAAAAAAACAAAACAGAGTCCCACTAAATTGCCTAGGCTGGTCCCAAAACGAATGATCCTCCTGCCTCACCCTCCCAAGTAGCTGGGACTGGAGGTGTGCACCACAGCAGATGAGCACAACCTCCTTTTCAAAAGGCTGTATTCCTCTAGGCCAGCCATACCGTTGGGTGTGATAGCACCCCTATAATCTCAGCACAGGGGAGGCTGAGGCAGGAGAATAACTACAAGTGTGAGGCTAGACTGGGCTACATTGTGAGTTCAAGATCAGCCTGAACTATACAACAAGACCCTGTCTCAAAATTAAACAACAACAACAACAACAACAAACAACTCTTGGCCATAGCCCATCCCCAGATTATGGCCACTATATTCTCCCACCAGTGCAACACATTCTCAGCACTGTTAGGCAAATTTAAGCAGAGGCAAAGGGCAGGAACCGGTCTAATAAATCTAGCTTTGAACAGACACCGCCCTACCCACACATTACCGTAGCAGACACAAGGTTGGGAATTAAACATTCCCTGAAGATTGAAAAGATTTTGTATGATTCAGTGGCTCCCAAATGTTTCATCACAAAGGACCTCTTTGGTTAAACCTCTGGTTTTGTGATATTTTATCTACCAAACCATATCAAACCGTGAGTCGTTTGCCCGATTTTGCTTCTCAAAGGCAGAGCACTGCCCATCTAAACTCTGGAGCAGACAGAGACAACCAAGAGCATCAGTGACAGGGTGAGAAGCATCCAGTCCTAAACACAGATAATGACATCTGCTTCAGCCTGTACTCTCTGGCCCAGGTAAAGGTACAGGGACCTCTGGGCCTTTGGGAACAATGACAAGATCCTGGAGGAGAGATTGTGGGCAGTACTCCTGGGGGAAAGAGGAAGACCAAAGGAGCAAGTGTAGGAGTCAGGGCAACCTCCAGAGGAAGGTTACTAAATAAACAAACAGAGGATGCTTGGCTAGCAGGCTGCACCCTCATTATGAGACCTGCAGGTGCTGGGGCTCCAGAGGTCCTGAGCAGATCTCAGGGGCCATCCCAGGACGGTCTCGCCATCTCTTTCACATACAGGTAAGACAGCCGGGGCAGGACAGCTGGGAACTTGACCTGGACCACGGCAGGGCTGTGTGGAGCCCAGCATCAGAATCTCATGACCAGGCTCCAAGCCCCAGACCTTCCCTCAAGCACCAGGTTCAGAAAGACAGACTCACCTCTGCTAGATACAGCAAGCAGAATTTCAAGTCTCCTGAAGAACCTTTGAGGGAACAAAAAGTGAGATTTGCATTACAACTGGCTGAAGTGTCTCAGAGGTTTGCTGAGGCACAGCCAGCTGTCTCACCCAGGAGGCTGTGTGCAGTGCTTCCTGGGAAAAGAGGAAGAGGCAGACACTGGGAACAGGGCAGTCTCTGGAGCAAAGCCACTCCATTTGCTAACTGGGGGGTGATGGGCAACTGTGAGGCATTTGCCTGCAAGTCATCCTGACCCAAAGAAGGCTGGCATCACATCCCCAGGAGAAGCAGTCAGGAGTATCAACCAGTAGGAAGCTGTCGCCCATCCCAGAAGTCTCCTCCTTTCCATGATCCTTCCTGTGACAAGGGACAAGAAGCAGCACACATCCAGGTTTTCTCCACCACTCCAACTGCCTTTGCCATCTTGAAATTCAGGAGGGCGTCATTTGATTCCTGGGTGGGGCCGTTATTTCCCACCTCAGAAGCATGAGCCAAGGAGGGGCAGTCCCCACTCATGGGCTGAGCGGCACTAAGAGATGGTTTGCTGGCCCAGGCTGAGACCTCAGTGCTTTCCTAGAGCCTCCCCATCCCTTTAGGATCCTGAACTCAACCATCCACCAAGCACTCTGGAGCTGGGAAGAGCTGGGAGGGCCTGGGGGCTGTCCCCTCCTCCTCCAGCCAAGGAGCTCAGTTGGAAGCCAAAAGATGACACAGAGCTATTGGGGAGGGAATTCTGGAGAAGGACCTTTAGTGTGAAAACTCAAGAGAGGAAGAACAGGCACCCCAGGAGGTGGGAAGGGCTTGAGCAGAGATAGAGAAACACCAGCTACACCTCCTCTAACACATCCACCCTGACCACTGGAGCCACCCGGCTGAACCTAGCAGCAACTCCCTACCAGGGCACTCATCTGGATATAGGTCTGGGCTGGTTGGAAACTCCCCGCGCTGGAAGCAATTGGCCTCACCAGGCAGGCTGTCACTTTTAAGAGAAGCAACCATATAACACATGTAACGGCATCAAGAGCCACAGAACTTTATGCTGCTTGCCAGCCACCATGCAAATGTTTTCCATGTGTAAGCTCAAGGGCTGGGAGGTGTAGCTCCCTAACAGCACTGGCCCACAGCTCTCTCAAAACCCCAAGGGGCAGAGCGGACAGCCTCCATGGCCCATGTGAAAACAACAGAGGCACAGGCAAGTGAAGTAACTCAACCCAGGTAGGAAAGGGAAGAGTCTGGCTCTAGAGCCCACTCTTTTAATGCCACCTCTCAACCACAGGGTTCAAAGTAGACCCTTTAACCCAGACTTGAAGCAAGGAAATTGCCAAACAAGGCACAATTCATCACCAAGAGAGGGCAGCAAGGTGACAAGGTGACAAGCCAATCCTAAGCAAAGCAGTAAGTAAAGCCCTAAGTGAGGTAGGTGAAGACCAGGCCCCCTGGAAACAGGTACATGGGCAGTTTCCATAGGGGTCAAAATCTCTCTACAGCCAGGGGCTTCTAGGCAGAGCCAGATAAAATAGCCCCAGGAAAATGGGAGTCCACTTTGGACTCAGAATAAATTTTTTACTTCTCCCCACCCGGAAATGGATCAGGGAGAGAGGGAGCCCTGCCTAAGAAACCCATAATGTTTAAGAACACTGTAAACTGGAAATACCTAGAATCCCAGCACTCTAGGAGGCTGAAGTAGGAAGGTGGCAAGTTCAAGCCCAGCCTGGGCAACTTAACAAATTTAGCATGGTCCTGTTCAAAAAGGGGGGTGAGGGCTGGGGATGCAGCTCAGTGCCAAGGCTCTGGGTTCAGTCATGAGGGGAAGGAGAGGGAGAGACCAGAGACAGAGAGAAAAGGAGAGAAGAAATACTGTAACCCCAAAGCCTCTTCTAGTTCCTTATGTTGCAAAAGTAGAAACAAAAGGACGTGATCTCTTTTGTTTAAGAAAACATACTGGATTATTTCCTTGACTTTCCAGAAGCAGACCCTAGAACAAAAGGAGAGCCAAGAAGACCTACATTAGAAAATAATTAGAATTTGGGCTTTGGAAGCTGGCAGTGAGGAAAGAGAAGGTTCTGAAAGCGAAGGCAAGCCCAGAGGGTGAGCACTTCAGGGAGACAGGAGCCGAGAGGTTGGGGAACACGCCTTTAGACAGTCCCTGTGGCCAGGGACGGCTGGTGCATTGCCTCGACAATGCTCGGTGCTGTGATATCACCCACTGCCTGCCCTGACATCCCTGCATGACTGCAAACTTTCCCTGAATCTGCTCCACATCACAGCCCCAAGCTGGCAGCCCTGTGACAGAAGGATGGATAGGGGCAGTGCTCAGCATGATTCAGAATCTCATAAAAGAAAAACAAGCAAGGGGCCAGGGGTGCCAGGAAGAAGCTGCCGCAACTGCAGAAAAGCAGGCAGCAAAGAAGCTGATCCAGGAGAGAGCCTCGGTCCTCCTGGAACATTAGGACTGGGGCTGGCACAGAGGAGAAGGGACGCTGTGGCTGCACATTTGAGACGCTCTGCCTGCGCAACTCGAGAGAGAGCCTTTCTTCCTACCAAGGAATGCATGGACCAGGCAGTGGGGCCACTGAGCTCCTGGGCTTCCAGGCCCAGCTCTGACCCTTCTGTCATTTTTCCAGAGTCCTTCCAAGCCCGGTCTAAGATCTCGACTCAAACATTCACAGGTTCAGAAAATGTCAACTAAGATGTAATCCAACTACTCCAGCAGCTGGAGTTTCCAAAACGGGAACCTGGGTCCCCAAGGCAGCTGGAGAGTTCATGAGTCACCTGGACATTTCCAGGCCACATCCGAGAGAAGAGGGCAAGCCAGGAAGACACACTGTGGGTGTGATACTGGCTGCCTGGGAGCCAGAAACACAAAGAGTAACAAAGCCAGCCGCCCCGACAGACCAGAGATGTCCTGATAGTTAGTGGCAGCTCTCCACCTGTTCCCATTCTACTGCCATTCAGTCCTGCCACAACTTGGGGAAGCTGGACAGGGAAGGCAGGCAGGACTGTAGTGGCCACCAGCCAGGGACCCTGAAGGAGGAGGCACTCCCAGCTCCCAAGCTGAGATGGTGCTTCTGGTCTCCTTTTAGTCATTCATTGATTGATTCACCCAACAAACATTTGTTGGGCTGCCACACTGTTCCATGCCCATACTAGGTCCTGGGAGTACAGCTGACCTGCAGAGCTAAGGGCTACTCGGACAAATACCAAGGGAGTCCTTGGTCCCTAGGATGGGGTGGATTCTCCCCAGCATTATGGAAAGGTGCAACTGCTTCTCGTTCACTGTCCTCTTTGCTCCAAATTGAACTCTGCATATATGTTGATTTGAAAGAGACAAACAAGTAACCTAGGAGTTTCATGTCCTGAGCAACGTTAATCAGAGACCATTCTGGCACCAGAGGCTTCAGCCGAGGCTCCAAATGCATCTCTTAAAAGCCTCACTCAGGCCCCTGCAGCGGCAGCAGTGAGTCTCCTGGGGCACCAGGGAGGAGGGCAGGAAATCGGGTGCCAGGACTCAGAACACTGGGTCCTGAAGCTCCACCTCCGCCTGTGGCCCTATGGTCAAAGGGGACAGTGGACTTCAGTGAACCTCTGGAACTGGCTCAGGGACATCAGAAGAATGGAGTAGGGGCACAAGGGGTCCATGGGTGTCTCAAAGGAAACCAAGCATCGGAATGTGTACGTTTTTCTATAATCTTTGTGCATGTACGTAGGGTTTTGGTGTTGGTGGTGGTGGTGGTGGTGCTGTTGTTTTGGGTTTTTTGTGTTTTCAGACAGGGCCTTACTGTGTAACTTAGGCTAGTCTCGAACTCACTATGTAGCCCACACTGGCCTGGAAATCACGGTGATTTTCCTGCCTCGGCCTCCCTAGTGCTGGGCTCACAGACGTGCACCTACAGGACTCCATGTCACAAATCATTTCCTTTGCTCTAGGTAGCTCTGAGGCTCTCCAGGCACCCCTCCAAACCTCATCAGGCCTGAGGTCTGCCCCAAACCGTGTCCAACAAACCCAGGGCTCCCTCTCCCATGCCAAGCCAACTGATCATCTCTCCTGAGACGTGCTGCCTGGGCCAACTCATCTAGGTCACCGACCATCCACAGGCAGATGTGGCCTTGGCCCATGGACACCATGCCTGGGCAAGGGTAACACTCCAGGCTCCCCTTGACCATTACCACCTGGCGGGGCATGAAAGCACCCCTTTCTTTAACTGCAGGTTTTGGCGTATATGTGTGTATGTGTGTGTGTTGAGGGGTGTCCTAGGAAGGGAAAATCAGTTCAGGCCCCTCAGCAGGGGGGAAGCAGGGTAGCATAGCACTGTCCAGCTTCTCCTAATCACCTGGGGATTCTGCCCAGGGCCATCAGACCTGGGAGGAAACACAGAGAAATAAACCCAGAAAAGGGAAAGGACCAGCTGAGGTCACACAAGACACTAGCAGCAAATCCCCAGCTAATGCCCTCAGCTCTTCCACTGCCTTCGTCCCCCACTCCAGCCTCTACCCAACTGCAGCCAGCTGGAGCTCCTTTCTTTTCCCTTCTTCCTGTAGCAGCATTAAACTGAGCAAATGAATCCTGGGCTTGTGGTTTCAGGCCTACAACGTGCAGGGCCTGAGTCTGTTCTTATCCTTGCTCATGCATGTTACTGAGTAGCGAGCGTCCTGCTCAGCACTCCCCATATGGGACTGGGTGGGTCTCACACTGTCTGAGCAGAGGGCGAGCCGGGGTGGGGGACAGAGAAGGAGGGACAGTACCCACCGTGCATCTCTATGAGTGTTCAGAGTGTCGGGGAGCTGGCTTCGAGGGAGCAACGGAGGAGGGGAATAGCAAGGAGGCCCGGGGCAGAGTACACTGTTTGGAGGATGGTGGGCACTGGGGAGCTTCCTGGCATGCCAGGGCCTGTGCTGAAGTGGCCCACAAGTCTGGTCTTCCCCTCTGCCCCCACCAGGCTGAGCCACCACCCAGAGGGAGGGGCTGTGGCCACCCTTGGTCAGGAGGCAGGAGAGTCAGAGCCAGAGAGGGCGAGTGGTGAGTGACTTCCCACAGGGAGGCGACAGTGGACGTTCCCACAGGACCTGGCTTCCGAGGAGGAAGACCAGCCAGGGCAGCGGGCGCACAGGATGGCTTTTGGAGCAGTCAGGAAGTTTGCCTAGAGTGAAACCCACCAAAACAGAATTCTTTCACCGGGTAATATTTTCCTCCCTGCCCCTGTCGCCTGTACTCAAACAGGTCTGTTGTTGTTTTCATAATCTGGGAGAGGAAATCGAGCCCCTTTCAGCGGAGACCTCAGGCGCCAAACCAAACCGCTGGACAGATACTCCCAGCTGGCTTCCCGTTCCGGGGGCCGGGGTGCCATGGAAAGTTTTGTGTTAGAAATTCTGTAGGCTCCTATATACTCTACTCAACAGCCCCAGCCACGTGTTCCTTGGGCTCTCAACAGGGCTATGTGGCTGGCTGGGAAGGGGCAGTGTTCTCTGTCCACACATCTGTGGAGAGCAGGGTGACAGCAGGCATTTCTTAGGCACTGGTTGTAGGCCAATCCCTTTGCATAAATGACCTAATTTAACCCAACAACCTTCCAAGATACTATTGTTATCCTAGTTGACAAATGAGGAAACAAGCTCAGAGAAGTGGAGTGACTTGCCCAAGGCCACACCAAGAGAGTACATGGGCCTGAGGTCAAAACTCTTCCCACCCTCTCTATGGCCTCCCTGGAAGGTGTCTAGAACAAAACCCACGCTGAAAAGCTTGAAGTGTGGCAGCATTTCTCAGGACTAGAATGGATTGCTGGCCAGTTCAGCGACAGAGCCCACCGCACATATCAAGCGCCCTGCTGAGGGCTGAAAGCTCGGCGTTCCTCACCTTCCTGCAGCTTGACACTCTGGAGATAGAGGGGGTTCCTCAGGACATTGCAGCGCCCAGGCTCATCCTCCTTGGTGAAGAGCAGCAAATCCGAGTAGGCAAACAGTGTCACCTGCACCGGAAGAGAGCAAATAGACTGGCTACTCCACTGTCCCCTGGACACAGAGAGTCACAACCTCCCCTGGAGGTCTGGGTAATGTGTCCTTGTCATCTCGGGCAGAGCCAGCCACCCAAGGGTGGCCCAGCCATCACCCTCCTCAAAGTAGGAAAAAAATAAACAAGAAGGAAAGACAGTCCTCAGCCTCTGTGGCAGATGGCTTCCGTGGGGGCTTCTCCACAGCCTGGTGTCCCCAGGCCCACCTGTCCTGGGCTGGCCCTGCAGTGCCCAGGCATCTCCAGCCCCTTGCCCAGCTTCGTCTCAAGCTTCTTACACAGTTCTTAGCATCATGTGGTGTGACAAAATACTACCAAACTCCTTGAAGATAACTTTAACTGCATTAATGAGAAATCAGTCTAAGAAAAAGCCAGTTGTTTATATTTCAGTACAGACTTGTACATAACTTTAATCTCCTTCATGTACCAGTTGCTCCAAAAACAAAGGAAAAAGTTATTTTTAGGTGTTATAAGTAAACCAACAGGCATGCACAGCATATTTTTTATGCTAAAAAAAAAATCCACTTGATCCTCTGGTCCCACTGAAGTTTACACTGGTCTTTGTTTTATAAATTCTGCTCTAGCTCGAGTTAAAAGCAATAAAATCCAATTTTAGGTTCTCAAAAAAAAGCCCACAAAAGATTATTAATTATAGGAACTTCTCTCTGAGGTGTCAAAGCCTGTACTTTATTTCTTCTGAAGTAAGAGGAATCTAGCAGGGGGGCTCAGCCTACACTCTGGGCATGGCAAGTGTGGGTCAGATTTTGACTGATCTGTAAGAAGCCAACATGTTGTCATTTAGTTCTCAGACTGTTAAAGATTACCCTACAGCACCACTTCTGACACTTTCCTGCAGAAACATTTAAAAGGATGCATAAATACGAACATATAAGGATGTTAGCGACATTCACATAAGTTAACAAAGGAAAATAAAAGAAAAAAAACATCAAGAGAGGATGGATAAAATCAAGGACAATACCTTCACATAGCAGGATTTTGTGCAACAATTAAAAGAATAAAGTAGAGCTACATGGGCAGAAACAGAATTGTGTCTCTCATAAGTTATTTCAAATTAGTGTGATGCGCAAACATAAATGGGTATAATGTAATTTTGGAAAGCAAAAGTATAGTTCTTTCTGTATTTTTTAAAGATATGTAAGGTGTATGCCACTCTCCTCACTCAAGGATGCGGGATTTTACTTTACACATTTCTGTTTAATTTGCATTACTTTTCAATGAGACTGCTACTTTTGTAATTTAAAAATATGTAAGAAATATCCAGGGCTGGGGATTTAGCTCAGTGGTTCCGCCACCTGCCTGGCAAGGTCAAGGACTCAAGTTCAATCCCCAGTACCAAAAAAAAATAAAAAAAAGAAATATCCAAAGGCCTACTTGGTATCTTGAGAGTTGCACAGATACAGAGGCAGAGACAACAGGGGGATATCCCTGAGCAGAGAGGCTCAGGGCTCTGGCCCTTCCCATGGACTCCCGAACCTTGGACCGGAAGGGATTTTAATAGAGACCCTACCCAATCCCCTTCCCAGCACAGCCGTCTCCTACAACTACCCAAGAGAAACCTCTACTTGTTGAACACTTTCTGCTCTGTGAATCTTTATGTAAATAACATCAATGCCCTTTACAGATGAGGCCCTTATAGCTCAGAGAGGTTAAGTTACCCATCCACAGCCACACAGCCAGACTGTTATGCAGGTCTGACAGACGGAAAAGCTCTCATTATACACAGTACTGTAGTAGCAATATGCCTACAGCTGCTCTGTCCCTGAATATAAAAGAATCCAAACAGGGACCAAAAAAAGTGGAAAAAGAAGACAAATGATAACAATAAAGTTGTAGGAGAGGAAGAAAATAATCACGAGTTCAGAAGGATTCAGAGGGTTGGCTATATGGGGAGAGGACTGCAAAGTCTAAGCAAAGAAAAGAAGACTCTAAACTAGCTGCAGACACTAGGCAAACGCCCCTGCTCCCAAAAAACATGTCTCCAAATCAAGGAAATTCTAGTTGTCAGCTGTGGACCCAGAGGGAAGCTGGCAGAGGAAATGTCAGAGGAGACAGTATCTCAGGAGCCTAGAAAGTCAAAAAGTGGTTCAGGCTGAGAGGGGGCTGCGTGGAGGACAAGAGGGAGGAGCCACAGGCAAGGTGAGAAAAGCCCTGGGCCTATATCGCAGCCTGGATTCCCACAGCTGAGAATATGGTCTAGACAGGAAGTGATTAAGTCATGAGTGAAGAATTTCCCCAAAGGTCAGGTCAGGGAAAGGACAGAGCTGGCACATGACTGGAAGCAGGACAGAGGGCAGGCATGGCAGGGAAGGACATGTGGACCTCATCCATGGTGACCCTATCTCCATAGTCCAGTTACCTGCTGCCTCTCACCACCAGCCACAAGGGATTCCAGGTATCTTCCCCACACCTGCATGGAGGACACACCTGTTTTCCCAAAGGGTCAAGGGTGGAGTGACCCCCTAGTTAGGGAACACTTACAACCTAGTGGGTGATTCTCAAGTGGCCCTAGCCAAGCCTCCTGGGAAACTGTCCTCAGAGCAGGGTATTCAGAAAGGACCTCTGCTCCTTAGTTAATGGTAAACTTGGTGAGTCAGTGTGTAAAGGGAGGGCGTGTCTGCCTTTCCCTTCATAGTATTCCAGGAACCTAGCACTGGGCCCAGCCACGTCCTAGGTGATCTGTAAATACTGTGTGAATGGATAAATGAGGCTGCTCCGAAACACAAGCGTGTGGTGTGGGACAGGATCGGCTCACAGACATCAGCAAACGTGAGCATGCCCAGAGAAAAGACAGATGAAGAAGGGGCGGGGCTTCCAGCTAGGAGAGGCTGCCCTTGCACATTCCGGAACTGTGGGGAAACCCAGCAACTGGACGACTGCAGAGAAGCAATTAGAATGGATGGCTCCTGAGGGCCCAAAGCACTAAGGCTGTACGAAGTTACCCAAGTCCCTCTGGAATTGGTTCTATTTTCGGCTGGAGTAACACAATAGGGTACCAAAATCCTCATATTTGGTTGCTATTATACTGCAAGAAAAAGGAATACACGAGTTCGATCCTCAGTACCAAAAAAAAAAAGAAGAAGAAGAAGAGGAAGGAGAAAAAGGAATATATTTATTTCACTTGTCCTCAAATCACTCCCTTCAGTTTTGGGAGCAGAGGGTGTCTCTTGGTTCTAAGGTTCTCAAGATCCATGAGGCAAAGATATTTTAAATGAATTATAACTGGCTATGGCTTGGCTTGTGTTTCATGGTTTGCTTTTAAACAAACATACCAGAGGCAGCATGGGGTCATGGAAAGCATTGCTGAGCGAGGATTAGAGCCAGAGAGCCAAGTGCTAATCCTGGCTCCTTTCCTTACCAGCCTTGATGTCCCAGTTAATTTCATTGAACATTGGTACCCTCGTGTCTCACGGGGGTGCTGCAGAGCTAATTGGGATCAGTGCAAAATGCATGCATGGCAAGGATGCACAGTAATGGTCAACATCGGTGCCTTTAATGGTTAGCAAAGTTTAAGGGTGAATTAAGATGCATGTGTGTATTTCAGGGTGGCTGTCATTCCAAAGTGCCTTCTTCTGGGTCTGCTGAATGCACAGCCACACCTTACCTTCTGACCTACACCCCGGACTTACCTCCACCACATGCTTATTCACCAAACACGGTTCCAGTGACCTCTCACTCCTAAAACCTAAATCTCCCAGGCCAGATGAAGTTTTACTCCCACAGAAGCAATTCTGAAGCCATGCTGCAATTCTCAAGAACATTCCCAAAGGGGAGGTCCAGAAATGACCTCAGCATTACCAGTGTGGTAGAAATCAGCATGCAGTCTCACCAGAGAGCGCCCTTAAAAAAGCCAGTGCTCATTTGGAACACATGAATTCTGGTCTGCTTGTTTAAAAAACAAAACAAAACAAAACAAAGCCAATCCCTGCTTCAGCCATAGGCACACTTGGTGCCCTACGGTGGTAAGGCTAAAGGCCCCTCACACCCCACACCCTGCTCCCGCAGCCTTAAATACACACAGGGAAGACTGAAGAAGAAGGGAGAAGTCCTGAGCGAGTCAGCAGCACACCTAGGGCTGGATATAGGCTTCAGGTCTCCAGGCTTTCTGATTTTGCCAGTTCCCAAACACCTACTCAAGTCGACAGAGCCAGCTCCGCATGAGGGCCTGATCAGCATCCAGCCCTCTCTCTCGCCCCATGACCCCAGGAAGCCAGGCTAAACGAGAGAGCTCCACTTCTATTTCCTGCTTGGACCAAGTCAGCTCTGTCTTGATGCTGCCACCCAACCAAAGCCTTTACTTAGAGAGTGCTTACTTTCTGCTGTGTGGATCTCCATGTCAATACCATCATTGCTTTCTACAGATGAAGACCTTACATCTCAGAGAGGTTAAATTACCTGTCCACGGCCACTCAGAGATGTTGTCCAGGTCTGAGGGACTGAGCTGGGACCTGGCCAGCTCTGGGGGTTGAGAGGGTGAGTAGAATGCTCCCAGCTCCCAGGAAGAATAGCATGGCCTCTGGACAACCCCTGCTGGCATGGTTAGGGCCCAGGAGAAATCAAAGATCTCTCAGGAGAGGATCTAGAATTTGGGTTAATACAGACTCAGGACATTCAGGGAACTGACACACCTCTAAAAATTCTCTTTGGCTAGCAGCTTTAATTTTCTCACCCACAAAGTCACTCACCACAGCTGAAGTGAAATACTCTCTTTTCTCTCTCCTTAGGAAAGGTTGGGATAAACAGTGGAATGTCTTTATGGGCTGGGGAGTAATATAAATGTCAAAAAGAACGAAACAGCTTTGAAAGGAGGTAAGTTCCCTATCACTGGAAGTAGACAAGAAATACCTAGGTCTCCATGCATTAGGGAGGGTAGTGTTTCCAGAAGTGTTCTCAGGTCTCCCCCATCCTGGGATTGTACCATGATCATCAGGAGGAGAGAAAAGTGAGGGTCCTGGAGACGGCCAAGGAGGAAAGCCAGTCCAGCAGTATGCACGAGTCTTACCTGGGCAGCCTTGTTCCTCCCCTCGTACAACAGCAGCTCCTCTGTCAACAGGAGGGTCCGGGCAGGGTTACAGAGATCTAGGGGCTGAAAACAAAGGGTGCACGAGTTAGTGGGCGTGCAAAGACACAGGGGGGGCAGAGGAAGCAGCTCATAGCCAGCCACAGAGAGGCCTCCCCTCCCCCAACAACTCACACACCCCTCACGCCCCTGATGGAAACAGAAAGATCTCCTGTCCTGTGAGGACCTGTGGCTGCCACCTTCCCCACCAGCCCTCACTGTGAGAGCTGCGCTCTCTGGCAGGAAGTCCAACCACTTGGCTCTCTGCAGTCTCCCCCTCCCCCACTGCCCACTCCCTCCCCGGGGCTCCCCATCCCATCTCCCCCATCTGTCCTGATGGAGCCCTCCGGTCAGAGAGAGCCCAGAGGCATCCTGAGAGCCACATGCCAAGAGATTTGGCCATTTGAGAACCTTCAAGGTGATGCTTTGCCCTCCTCTACACTTATAACAGACTCCTTCCCATCAGCAATTCTGAAGAAACCACTTCTCATTCAAACCTCTCATTCCATCATCCTGTCCAGGGATGTCCAGAAAAAGCACCCTGAGCTCTATATTCCCCAGCAGGACACATCCTCATGAGCATATACTTATAGCATGGCTTCTACCTGCCTGGCCTCAAGCAGGTACCTGAAGGAAGATAATGAACCAAGTATCAACTGCACACAACAACCAGGATGGACTTTATAAACCGTATACATGAATATATGCATACAAACATTCATGAAATAATATTTTAAAAGAATCTACACAAAATATGAAATTTAGGAAGAATACAGGTGGCAAAAATAAAGAAAAGCAGGTAAATGCACAGCATGAGCTAGGCTGAGGCACCTCTGGTGGGAAGGGAGGGCGTTATGCTCAGGAAGGAATATGCTGGTTTCCACCGTATCTCTTGGGCAGCAATCATATTCCTTTATTTTAGTGGATATTTGCTTTACTATTATTTATTAAATTGAACATTTAAGTGTTATGCCATTTTTATCTTAAATGTTTCCCAATAGAAAAGTTTTCAAAACTTTTTGAAAATCAATTTCAATTTTTTAATCAAAATTAAAAACAAAAACTAACCCCCCAGCATGGCAAGACCTTTGTGTCACATCCGAGAAAGAGACCAACAGAAAGGCAAAGGCAGGCCGGGGATTTAGCTCAGTGGTTCTGCAGCCTGCCTTGGAAGCACAAGGTCCCGACTTCGATCCCCGGTACCAAAAAAAAAAAAAGACTCAGAGACAAAGGCCAGTCCCTGCTGACAGAGCCATAGAAGAAGAGAGGTTTGCTGCCTGCCACAGATGCATCACATCCAAGTGGGTGTCCTAAGACTCTGGGACAGGGACAGGTCCAGGATGGGATGCTAAAGAGACTGGAGATAGGACGAGCAGAAGAGACTCCCTCAGAGCTGTGTCACCTCTATGCTGCTGATGTGTAGATAAACTAATGTTATTTTCCTAGAACACGGTTTGTCAATATGTGTAAAGAGCCTGCAACATGCTCATGACCCATGACCCAGTCTTTTCACTTCCAGGAGTCTTTCCCAAGGAAAATCATCAGAGTGACAATCCAATCCATTAGCAGAGTTTTCATCACAGAGCTGTTTACAATAGCAAAAGAATAGACACACGGATCTGAATTAAGAACTGACTCAGTAAGGATAGTATATCCACATGACAGAAGAGTGAGAACTACTATACAACCCAGGCTTAAATGTTCATGCTACAATTTTTGTTTTAAAAAGGGAACCAGGCTAGGCATGGTGTTGCACACCTATAATCCCAGCATTCAAGAGGCTAAGGCAGGAGGATCACCATGAGTTCAAGCCTGAACTACATAGCAAGACCCTGTCTCAATAAACCAAAAGCAACTAGATATAAAATATAGAATAAGATCTGTTTTGTTTTTAAAATTTATATATTTATGTGTGTGTGTGTGTGTATGCATACATTTGACACTTAAGTGTTTAAAAGGGCTGTACCTAAGCAAGAGAATAAAGAAAGACTATTTTTAAAAAGAAGAGAAAAATGCAAAAGAGAGAGGGAAAAAGAAGAGGAAGGAGTTAGAGAAGAAGGGAGATCCAAATGAACCTCAGGGCACCAGTGAATCCTGGCCAGGCATGTTTGGGTGACCAAGGGGACCACACAAGCTCTCTCTCCCTTGGTCAGTTCCAAACAGCAAGCTTGTGGGTGAACTGATGAGAAGGAGCTGCCTCAGGCAGGTCCTGGACCTCAGAGCCTCAGCCACTGAGAAAGAGGAGGCTGCTGGGGGAATGGGAGGCCCCATGTTTTCTGACCCACGGCTCCTCGAGAACCTCTGCTCACTGACACGACCTGCAGAACCCTGAGTTTCTCGAGTCATTTGTCTTTCCTGGGCCCCTCAGTGCCAGGGTGAAGAACTCTCCTTGTCCTCGTCTCCTCCTGATGACACCCTTGCGGCCAGCTACAGGCTCACCTGAACAAAAACAGGGAACACCAAGGCCTTGGGGGCCAGGGTGACGTAAGTGCCGTAGCTTGAGTGCGGGACATGCGGCCTCAGAAGTGAGCAGTCCTGGTAGCTCCCATGACCCTTCACCGTCTGCACAGTCTTCATCAGCCGGGACTTCTTCCCCAGGCCCGTGTAGGACTTCCCTTTAGTGGGACTCCCCGATTCTGTGGAACAGAGATGGGGGACAGTGAGGCGTTTCCATTGCTCCTGTGAAGGATCCCCTCAGAGCTGGACCTGGTGGCACACATCTGCAATCCCCTGCACTTGGGGGGCCGAGTACCACTGACTGATAATCTACCTTGCGCTGGGCCTGTGTAAGGATCTGGAAACTCAAGGAGGCTCTGGATGGGTCTCAGGCCTCAAGCAATCCTTCATCCTCTAGTGAGAGATGCTAGAACATAAATAAGCAACTCCAGGGGAAAGACAGAGCTGGAAACCAACAATTGTGAGATGTAGCAGTCTCACATCCCAGTCAGATACAGCATCCCAGTCAGCATCCCAGGTCCCAAGTCAGATACATCTATTGGCCTCGCACTTTTCAAAATCAAGAGAGCACTCAAATTTTTTCAAATCATAAGGTTTGACTTCACTGAACCTGCAGGGCCACATGGAAGGATGAGGTTGGAACAGAGACCACTGCCCTATGCAGCAGAGCCCCTGTCACCATCCCAACCCAGACAGCCCACCCATAGCCCCTAGACAAAGATCGTTCTCTGTAGAGGGGCAGACAGCAGATTTTGCCAGGATGCATGTGGTCCACCCTCCACTAGTAAAGGAAGCTGGAGTCACCCGACCGACCACAATCAGTCCATAAGCAGTAAAAAGTAGCACTTACACCAGGCACAGTGGCCCCTGCCTACACTTGGGGTGGGGAGAGGGGCAGGAAGATAGCCAAGTTTGAGGACAGCATGGGAAACTTAGTGAGATTCTGTCTCAAAATAGAAAAAATAGAAAGGAAAAGGGGCTGGGGGGTGTGTAGCTCAGTGGTAGAACACTTGTTTAGCACGTACAAGATCCTGACCGCAACCCCGAGCACCACAATTTTTTAAGAAAAGAAATAGTACTTGCCACTGTCATTCTCGGTAAGGAGGACAGCTCTGAAGCCAGGTGGCTGTGCTCAAAGCCTGCTCCCACAGTCGCTATCTCAGTGACCGTGGGTGGCCTGCTTCACCCCCAGAGTCCTGGTTTCGTCAGCTGGAGTAAAAGTGCCAGGCACACAGCTGCTGCAAGGGCTTAAGCAAGATGCTCCAAGGTACACTGGAAGTCAGCCCCTGACAGGTAGTCATTTGGAAGCCAAGGGCCCCATGGGACTCCAGGAATGTAGACATCACCTCCACAAGGTCCCTCCACTTGGCCATCAGCTCCCAAGTTACTACAGCGGAGGCCATCAGCAGGGAAAAGAACAAAAGGCAAATGGCCATTTGGCATAGGAATCCCTCTTTAAAGGGACACTGAAGGTCACACTCTCCCCTGGAACAAGGGGTGTTATGCAGGTCTTTATCATGACCCATCAAAAGGGCAGAGGAACAAAACCCAGAGTAGCTAAAAAATAAAAAAGAGATTCCTGGGCACAAGCAGCAGGGAGACAAACCCCAGAACAAGCTGACTCTGCACATACTTCGGCCCTCTTCTAAGGTTTGCTGTACTAGGAAGAATCCAGCAAGGCCCTCCCTGACCTGGGTGCCCAGACTGGGTCCCAGCACCCAGGCTTCCTTCTGCCACCAGCCCTGGAAGATGGTAGGGTAGCGGGTAGCCTGACCCGGTGACAGCTCAGGGAAGCTCCCCACCAACACAAGGTCATGGCCTCAGAGGAAGCACTCAGCCCAGAAGGTGTCACACTTGCTTCCTCCTCCCACCTGGTGCCCCTTCTCAGCAAGAGGCGAGAAAAACAAGTCAACCTCCCCCGCCCCACAAGTGACCACTAAGCACAGTGATCAAACCATGATAAGTAGAAGGCAGGATTCCAGGATGAGGGACAGGAGGTGCAAATGCAGGGAAGAAGTTACACAGTTCTTTGTCCAGTCTGGCCCCACGGTCATCTGTACAGCCAGTCCCTGGACCCTTTGCTGGAAGGACCCGTCCTCAGTCTCGAGTTCTGCACAGCAATGGAGGTGGGTAAGACTTCGGAACCTGAGTGCGGACTCTCCAAGTCAGACACCGGCTGTGCAATTCTGAACAGCTCCTTCCATCTCTGAGTCAATTTTCTTCAGCGCAAAATGGAGGTAATGGATTGCTGGCTCCCTGGGAGCTCACACAAAAGGCCTGACTGAAAAGGACTCGGTGGGTTGTACAGAGGGTTCATGTGCTATGGATCATCTTACACCCTAAGCCATTCATTAAGCCGCCCATCACGGCTGGCAGAAGCATGCAGAAGGCTGCTGGGCTGCAAGCCTTACCATACCTGGGGCCACAGGGTCAGCCTGGAACTAGACAAACTAATTTGACATGGAACTAGCCTAGAATGGAGAAGGCAAAACCATGCAGGACTGACAAGTAGGAGGCCGAGGCCAACTAGGCCAGTGTCAACAAAGGGTACCATTTGTACAGAGAAAAAATCTGAGCCTTGGGCCCCAAGTTGCTGACTTTTTAAAAAATCCATGTTATCCCTTCTCTGGCTCAGCTGCCCAAGGCTGCCCAGGAATCTTCATTCTCGGCCTAAAAGTCACAAATCAACTCCTTGACCCATCATTCTGCCTTCAGAAAGGAGAGGTCTACTCAGCCACAGTTTATAGACAAGGAAATTAAGTCCCAGAGAGATGTAGGGCAAGGGAGCATGGCTCTCCAGAACTGACTTTCCAAGGATCTGTTTTTAGAACAGTCCAGATTGCAACCCAGTTGCTGAGCTTGGTGAAGACAAACTCATTTACTTTCCACCTGCTACTTCTCATGACAATGTCTGGTCCAAACCCCATATCACCCCTTTCTCCCCTAACACCTGCTTCACTGGCTGAACACAATAATTATACAGCTTTGCTCTCAGCTTCCGAGGCAAGCCCTGGCAGCTCTCCTGCCCCGGCAGTGTTGTAGCTGAGGCTAGGCTGCCTCCTCGGGGCACAGGACAATGCCCAGGGCACCAGCAGCCCCATAGAACATGCCAACTGTATCCCAGCAGGGACCCCAGGCCCTGGAAGAGCCCCAGACCCTATTCAACTCAGAATGGCTCAACATCCTCCTGAATGGTTGCCTCCTGGCAGCCCAGCCAGAAGAATGAACTCCCTGGTGACAGCCTTAGCCTCTGGACAAGCCTGAGAGTGCTTAAGAGAAACTTTGTACCTTGAATTTCACCCCTTCCTCTGAACCCCAGACCTGGGAGCTATAAAGACTTGATCCTTACAAAGAGTAAATATGTACTGGAATATCAAAAATATTATTACTATGAAAGATAAATGAAGTACAGTCAAGATCTTAATATTCTAAAAGCTACCATTGCTACAAACATGATCACTTCCTTGCTTGTCCCTCCCAGGGCTTACATGACTGTGCCTTTCTTAGCATTATATTCTCAGAGGGGAATGAAGACATAAATACAGGTTGGGAGCAACCCCAGAGGCATCTCTCAGCCTGAGAGGGAGTTGATCCTCCTCTACCCAGTCAGTGTCCATGTGCCCACAGCAGCTGACACAACTGTCTGGCACCCTAACTCCATGACTGAAATCCTACTGAGCACCTGCTATCTCCCAGGCCTGCGTCTCGTCCAAAGAAATATGCCAGGCCCAGCCCTGCCTCTAATGAAGTCACCATTTAACAGTGACATCTTCACTCTAACCTAATGCGCCACAACTAAAAGGTTTTTAGACACTTATTGTTGAATCATGATAAGACTCCTCCCTAGAAGGAAGTCAGTTTTATTTCTGACAGGCCCAAAAGCCCAAAGGCCCCCAGAGGGGAGAGAAGGGAGATGCCTTGCATCATCCGTCCATAGCCCAATTGGAGCCCTTTCCCCACAAAAGACACAAGCACTCTCCCAAGTATCCACCATAAGAAATGTGTTCCTACAACTGATAGAGAATGGCAAGAAAGCAAGTCGGTGAAAGGCTGGAAAGGGGCCAGTCTCAAGGAAGGAGGTCAAGGGCATTCTGCAGGCACCACAAGAAGGGCTCAAGCACAACCTAGGTGGGCATCAGGGGCCACCTGGCAGGGCTGGTTCAGCTTTCCAGGTATTAGCTGGACTTTCAGGTCGAGCTCTCCAGCAGGTATGTGAGGGTCTAAAGGAGTGCCCAGTGGAGACCGATGTCTCAGGCTTTCTTGGGGAAGAGACTGGTCTGGAGTCCCACTTCTATCCCTGGGCAGAATTTAAAAGCCAAAGGAGAAGAATCCACTCAAGAGCAGAGACCTCTGTGCCATGCAAAGATGAACACCGTGTCACATGGCACAGTATTCAGGTTATTGCTCACGAACATGTTCTTATGCAATCCTCCCAACAACCCTCTCAGAAGGAATTACTGACTCATATTATAGATGAAGAAACTGAGGCTCAGTAAGGGCACATGAGTTGCTCAAGGTCACACAGGAAGAGCTCCAAACCAAGACCTCTAGCTCCACATGCACAGCTCCCGTCTATGCTGGCCCCACCACGCTGCCTACAGCACCTGGCTTAGATGTTTGCTTGGTAAAAATGGGTGACACTCAGCTGAATGCCTGAGCCCTGAGCACCCTGTCTCTCAAAGGGCTCTGGCAGATCCTGCTCTTCCTTCTCAGTTCCAGCTTCAAAAACATTTTGAGTGAGAGAGGAGAGGAACCAGGAGGAAAGAAGGTCTGTGTCAGCATGCTGGGTGACTGTGACTCCACCTCCTCTAAATTTGGAGGAAGAGGCTGGGCCAGGCTTCACCTGAACTCCACCATCTCCTGGCTGTGTAGGCACAGCAGTGGGGGATGGCTCACCTTCGGGGATGGTGTCCTCCTGGTACACAGGCCGCAGCAACTGCAAAGGAAAAATAGGAGAACCAGCTCAACCTCAGGAATGGGGCAGAATGGCCTAGCAGGCCGGTGGACACCAGACCTGGGAGACGAGACACGAAGAATCCTAAAGCACAAGAAAAAAACAGCAGTGCTGCTAACCAGCCGAGGAAGCGGGGTTGGTGAGAACACAGAAGCTCAGGAAACAGGAGTCAGAAGAGGCTTTATGTACCATGAAGTCTAAGCCCCTTGGCAAGACCTCAACAGCCTGTTCCAAAATGTACTCCATGGATCGCTGAAATGGTACGATCCCAACAACCACACTATAAAGGATGCTTTATTGAGGAGAGTCATTGGGGAAGTTTGGGAAAAGCTATCTTAAACAAAGTTAAACCACCTTTACCGCAGGATGCCCTCAGAACCTCACCACCTTTACCGCAGGATGCCCTCAGAACCTCGACTAGCCTAATGTACACTGGGAATTTTCCCAGATGGAAGAGAGTACAGGATTTTTCCCCAACTCCTGTCACTTCAGAACACTTTTTTGCCCAGAGTGTCTCATGGGACTAACGTTTTGAGGCATATACTCCATCATCTGACCATATAATCATGCACTACCTAATTTCATACCTCCTGAAACAGGGGACTCACCACCTACCAAGGTAGCCCATTCCACTGTGGACAAGCAAGGCTGATAGAAAGTTCTTCCTATATGTACACCCAAGTTTGCAGAGGCACAGTTTGTAATAGCTAAAGCTTGGAAACAACCCAATTGCCCATCAACTAGAGACAGGATAAAGAAGATGTGGGTTTGTTTTGTTTTATTTTTAATAAAATGGAGTACTAGTCAGCCATACAGAATGAGAAGCTAGAGACATTTATAGCTAAGTGGATGCACATTGAGGCCATACTCTTAAGTGAAATTAAGAGGACACATGTGTAAATACTGAATAGTTTCTCTGGTGTGAAAAATTAAAAGGGTAAATAAGGTTCAAGTGGTATTAATGATAATGTGAAATAGGAAGAAAAGGTCTAAAGGAGTAGGGGAAGTGGAAAAGGTAGGGGAAAGGAAATAAGGGAAAAGAAAAAAATATGAAAAAAGGAAAAAATGGAAACAAAGTCTTTGTAAATAGGGAAGGGTAAAGGAGGCGAAGGGAGGGCAGGGGATTTGGGGAAAAAATAAGAACCAAGGTGGATTATGTAAAGGTACAAGATCCCAATGATGAATGTAACCGTATTATTTACCTCAAATGTACCAATAAGCTTAATGAAAAGAAAAAACAAAGCAAGCGCTTCCTTCATATGAGCTGACATCTTCCAGCCTGCACATGCCCTGCTCCTGGGACTGTGCCCTGAGGCTGCACAGGCCCCTCTGTACTCTCTACCAGGACACTCCTGCAGAGGCCAGAGCTGGCACAAATGCCATCTCCTTGTTCAACACTCCCAGCCCCTTGCAGACTCCTCAAAGCAGTTCTGAGACTTTGAGACTTCCTGACTCCCACAGAGACACCCGCCCCTTGAAACTCTTCCCTTTCCCCATACCAGCTGCCCATACCTGGCTCCCAGGGTTCAGCGGGGCCAGGATGATGTAGTTGGGGTCGGTGGGGGCAGTGGCACGGGACAGTGCAGGCAGGGTGTGCTGGCCCCCACACTTGCCCACCTCGGTGTAGCGCTCCCAGCCACCGAGCAGCAGCCCATCCGAGCTGTCACACACCAGGTGGCAACTGTGGCGCTGCTCAGGCCGTGCCTGGGCCCCGTGGGTACAATTCTTCTCCCTCTTGTTGGGGGGTGACAGGAGGTCGTGTGTTGACTTGCAGGAGGCCCGCCGCAGGACCCCGCCATCTGGCCCCGGCTTGACTTGGGGGACCATGCGCCACACGAGCAGGATGATCTCTCCAGGGCAGCTCCTGGAAGGTTGGGGAATCACACAGAGATGAGTCTAGGGGAGACGAACGTCAGCCAGGGTGGGGGCCCTGCAGGGCAGAGAGGAAGAGGAGGAGAGGAGGAAGCACACACAGCGGACAGGCTCCTAGTATCAGGGCAGGAAGGGATATGAGAAGCCACTTAAAGCAGACACAGTAAAGGGGTCTCGTGGGTCAACTCTAACTTAAGCTCACTTAGTAGTGGCTGAGAAAGACCCCACAGCCAAGGCCAGGTTCAACAGGAAAGAGCACTATACTCAACTCATGGGCAAGATTCAAGCAAGAAGGAGCAAACACATCACCTCAATGCATTCCTCATCTAGCCATCTCAGAACCAACCGTAAGTGGACCCATTCGGATCTTACTTCACGGGGTTGTTCAGAGGGTCCAAACATTTTAAAGAATTTTTTAATGTACAACTGAAGCACATGCAACATCTATGCATTCTTAAAGAAAGGGCTTAGCTCTCAGGTGGCAGCAATAATTAGCTAACGTGGAAAGTGACCCCCTGGTGCCACATTAGGAACCACAGGGTCTGTTGAGAGAGAGCTCCTTCCCTGCTCTTTGCTCTGAGATCCAAAACTGCTTGGAGACTGAACCTTCCTTTTCAGGCCAAGAACCCGATTCCCTGAGGAGCAAAGTGGATTGCTCACAGCTGGGCAAAGGAGGAGCTGGCAAGAGCAGGGCAAAGCAAGGCAATGTGCCCAGGCCGGGGTGGGAAATCTATGTCATCAGTCCGAGGCCACCCCCTGCCCCTGTCACCGGATCTCGTGGGCCAGCTCCACACATTTCCAGTGCTCCACCGGCCTCTCATTCAGTTGCAGCACCGTGTCCAGCTGCTGCAGCCCTGCTCGCTCTGCTGGGCCCCCTGCATGGACAGAGAGAAGCCATTCAGGATCACTTTCTTCCACAGTGACCTCAGACAAGGTCCATGCTTCTTCTGTTTCTTCGCCTGTGAAATGAGGGACCCAATCTGGTGGCTCTCAAGAGCCAGGAAGTCAGATACCCTCAGCCTTCAACCCTTCCCACCCTTTCTCATCCCAGCTCCAGGTCACCTCTCTCCCCAGGCCCCGCCCCTACCCAGGGCCTCCTGGCCCACTTAGAACTCTCGCACGCTGCCAAGCTGCCCCGCTTCATTCATCCTTCCTACCCCATTCATTGGGCACCAACCCCATGCCATTCCTGTGTAGGCACTGGGCGTAGCCTGACCACTAAGCCCTGGCTTCTGCCCATAAGATACACACTTTGTGTGACAAGAAAAAGTCCACTTGTGATAGTATAGAAGAGATGACTGCTTTTAAATGCTAATCAGGTTTATAATATGATGAAATACTCATTCCAAAAGAATTTGTAAATGACTCATTTTCCCCCAGTCATTACAGAAAATCAGGTTTCATTTGTTCCTATTCAAAATGATTGGCAATCAAAATATGAAAACCTATTTTTACTTTGAAAAAAAAAATATTGTGGGTAGGTCTGGGGTTTTAGCTCAATGGCACCACACTTTACTCGCATGCAAGTGTAAGGTCCTGAGTTCGATCCCCAGTACTGGAAAAAAGATGTGGGTATGTTTTCATAAACCCCAGTTTCATCTCTGGCCATTTAAAAATATTATTCTTTTCATTTGAAAACCCAGGAGCCCTCCAGTGTGGGGCTCTCCATCCAGTTCCATTCTGTCTGCAAAGGCCAGGTGGTTTGCAGGCAGGCAGGGCTTAGCATCCTCCAAGTGATGAACTTACCAGAATCTACAGCTTGGACTCGGACTGGAGAGTCACAGCAGATGGTGAAGCCAAAGCCGTCCTCACCTCTCGGGATGGTGATCTAGAACACAGTCCTGCCCAGTCACTCCCAAAAGCTGCAAGGCCGGGATGCCCACAGACCCCACCCAAAGCCACCCTCCTCTCCAAGGGAGTCAGTCAAGAAGCAGCTGGTCAGTCCTTCGCTGTCCCTGTCAGCCCAGGCACCCTGACACCCGGTTGTGGGCCAAGTAGGGAGAACGAGGGCTCAGGTGGTAAACCTCAGATGATGCAGGGAGACCCAGAAACGGACAGGGGCCTGGGAGGGCAAAGCTGTTCTGCTGAGCCCCAACAGCCCCAGGCCTCTACCCATAGCCCATGACTCTTCTACCTCCATGTCGCCATGACTCACTGCCTGCCTCAGTCCTTTCTTCCTTTACCACAAGGGTCTTGAGCCTTTGTGCTGAGGATACAAAGACAAAGCTAACCTGGGACCTTCCTTACCCACAAAAAAAGGAAAACTGGGCACATTCACTTGGCCATAGACCAAGGGTCAGGGGAAGAGTGCTGGGGGTTTCAAGGTAGTCACAGTAGTTGTCCCAGGTGAGGGGACAGGCAAGGGTGAGACAGGTCTCTTGGGTGGGCCTGAACTAGCCACTGACCACTATGCCTTCTGAGGGCTGTGGGCACCGGCCGGATCACAACCTTGACTTGCATAGAGCCTAGGGAAGGGTCCTGCCCTCTGGCTGTTCTTTTCAAACCAGGACACAATTACTGAGCTCCTAATGAATGGCAGGCTCTGCTGAGGTACCAATCACAAGGCCTTGGTCTCCTGAGGGTCACAAGAGTACATGAATCTCTCCAAAGCAAAGCATGGTATGATAAGCAATAGGTCAAAACAGAGGACTACGCCACACACAGGCCTTTGTGCTTTGATGTCAGCCACCACCTTAATGATGGAAGACACTAGGGAAGGACTAAGTCAGTGAGGGTGGGCTGGCAACGGCAGCATCCCCGGCAGAAGGATGCAGGATGCAGCATGGCCACCTGCTCACTCAGGCTTCTAAAGGAGCAAAGTCAGCAAAGGGATTTCTTGGGTTCCCAAGAGACTCCCTAGTGGTGGGGCTTAGCACGGGCCCTGGAAAGCCACAGGGAAGGTGTTCCAGGCAGGCTACGGAAACACCAGCTCAGCAAGTCTGGGAAAAGCCAAGGGTGTCAGCCTTGTTGGGAGAAAGCTTCACCTTCCATCAAGGGTTGTCTCTTGGGGCTGAGCACCAGCTGTCATCTGCCTGCTGTCGCATAGCCAAGCATGAGGAAAGGGAGCAGGTAGGGACCCAGAGCCACCAAGGCCCTTGGAAACTGCTGGGGCCCCTGAGGCTCTGCTTCCCACCAACCTTGGGCCTGGATTCAAAGCAAGTTTGTAAAACAGGAAACCTGACAGACAAGGGGAAGGGGGAGGGGGCAGGAAAATACTCTGTTCCCATAAGAATTCTGGGAAAACACACAGCTAAGACAGGAAGAGAAAAAAATGGAAAGAAAGAAAGAAAAACAAACCCAGGAGTGAGTGTGGAAAGCTAGAGGAAAGGAGCAACCACTAACTGCCCAGCTCACCTGAGGTAGAGAGAAGACATCAGGAGCCCCATCCCCTCCGGGGAACCAGGGTGACTTTTCAGGAGACTTTCAGTCCACCCTTCTGCCCATGTGGAAGCTGGATCTAAAAGCCATTCTAGCATTTCCACAGCCCTAGTCCACCATGTGCTGTGACTCCTTCTGCCTGGCTAACAGGACTCAGCCCTCTAGATTCTGGGCTAACTGGATTTTGGGGGTCACCCCAGAGCTCCCACACTCCAGGTTCCCTGATGCAGGCAGAGGCAGGAGCCCCCCAACTTTCGAGAGTGCAGGCCTAAGAAAAGCCAGACCAGGGAACAGAACAACCCAGGAGAGGGTAAGCTTGTTGGGGTGGGGTTGGGGTGGGGTGGGGCTGGGTAAAGGAAGCAGAATGATGCTCCCTGCAGAGGCTGCTGTCCAATGGGCCTGTGGGCCGGTCGACCCCCACAGCGCTAAGGAGAAGACAGCTTTAGCACCCCCAATTAACTGAGAAGGTGCCAACTGAGGCCCCAAGTAAGTGTCCCTCCCACAGCCCTCTTCTCTGACTGAGGGCCTGGGGTGGGGTGCTGTCTTCAGGGCCACCCTGGCTCTTGAGAGGCTGCCCTTCCTGTGGGTGGTTCTTGCACTTTCCTGACTCCCCAGTCTCAGCCATGCTGGCAGCTCGTTTCTGTTCTCCTTCCCAGACTCAGAGGCTCTGTCTGCTTGGATTTTATTCCCCAACTGTCACCAGAAGAACGAGGTAGACACTGAGAGGTACCTGCCATGCATCGGACCACTTACACTCACAGCATCAGCCCTGAATGTCACTGTTCCTATTTTAGGGACAAGGAGATCAAGGCTCAGAGAGGCAAAGTGACTTGCTCAAGCACCACAGAAACAGGAGATTGAACTGGATTTAGGACCAGGTCTGACAGAAAGCTTGTTGCTGGTTTCTAATGCAGGAGTTCTCTAAAGCTCAGAGGTCCTAGAGCCCCAAGTCCACCCCACACTCATGCCTGGCTGCCCCCTGTCCACCAGCATGCCCCGGCTTTCTTGCCCATAGGCCCAAGGAGACCAGGGACTTCATGACATGCTATCCAGTGCTCTCCCACTCCACCAATCTGCTACCCAGGGGAGCACAGAGCAGGGCTTGCAGGACAGGACCTGAAGGCTAGGAGGGCTGGAGAGAGGACACTTGGTCCCCTACCAACAGGTGCCATGCAGGGGACCCAGCTGGGAATCTCCCAGGGACCTACACACTACCTATCAGAGGAGTCAGGATCTAGATTCCAGTCTGGTCATTAAAGCAAATAGAAGGATTTCTCTATATTTTAAAATCAAAACAATTTCTGTGTTCCTTTCCAGCTTGGAAACTCCCCAAATCTGGACAGCTCTTGCCTGTTACACTTCCCTGACCGTATCCCTTTTGATAAGAAAAAAAAAATGCAATTCCAAAAAAAGGCCCAGGGACTAATGGGACAATCACTATTGTATGGCAAGAGCCCTGAGCCACCTCAAGACACCAGGGTGGGAGAGAGGAAAGTTGTGTGCGTTCATGTACACAGAAACATCCCATCTCACACGCAAGCACACACCAGTGCACTCAAAGGACCAAACCGCACTGCCATCCCATGAGAAGCAGGAAAAGTTAGCAAAAACACATAAGCCCCCTCCAGAAACACCCAGCTGCTCAGCCACTAAGCCATTTGCAATCTTAGATGGAGGTGTCCTTTTTTAAATCCATACTCCCTCCTCTGATAAAAAGCAGTGGATATCTGCTGCACAGTCTCTCCAAAGACACCACCCAGCCAGCCGTTAGGATGACACAGAGCCAAGCCTCCTTGGCCCCTAATGTGGGGTGGCAGGTAACAGGCTGGACCTTAGGTCCAGTTCCTACCTTTACCCCCTCCCCAAAACCAAACTGTGCTTGCAGGAGGCAGGTGGAGGTGAGGAAGGCCTTGTGGGAAGACAGGTCCTGCTCCAGGGGGCCCCTACCCCAACCCCCATACCTCTTAGGTCCCCTCCTCCGAGGGGCCAAGCACCCACCTGGCGGTAGCGACGCTCGGAGCACACTTTACAAAGCCCATTGAAGCGGTTCATGGCTGCGGGTCCTGCCTCAGCTGCCGCCCCATGAAAACCCAGCTCTCCCCCCAGCCTCGGGGCTGCACTGCGCCCGTCAGCCTGGCATGACCGCTCTGGGAAGCCCGCCCCGCAAAAGAATGGCAGGAAATCACCTCTCACCTCCCCAAGCCCTGTCTGCGCTGTGTGCCTCTGCAGATAAGCCCAAAGGCTTCCTGAAACCTCAGAATGACAAGGAAGAGGGAGAGTTTTATATTAAAATTCCTGTCAACTAGTTAGTATTCCTCAGGCTTGGCGGGGAGAGGGCGCCTTTGTTCTGGCTGCATTCTCCGCCATGGGCCACTTTGTGATTCCAATGTTTTCACAAACACCCCTGCTGCCCTGCCGAGGAGAACCCAGGCAGAAAACACACCCTGCTTTGCTGACAACGGCCTCCCCTGCAAGTCCCAGGGTACCCAGTAGCAAATCCAAGGGACTGACCCAGCCTAGTGACTCCAAGAACATCTTAGTGGAGTTGTGCCTGCGGACATCCCATCTCAAGACAGGGAGCACAAAACTTGTGGAGGCTGAGGAACACCTACCACCTAGGCGCTACTTCAAAGTCAGTTTCCTTGTTATGTAAGGGGCAGGCCGCATGGAGGATCTGATAATCCATGAGCCACGAAGTCAGGTGTGAAAAGGGCTTCCAAATCATCAGATGACCCAGGCTCCTCATCCTATCAGTGAAAAAACTGAAGCCAGAGAGGTTAAGGTCACACAGCAGGACAGAACCCAGGCCCTGATTCTTGCCTGGGAGTCCTGGACAGCAGCACAGCATAAGCCCAGCCCCTGCCCACCTGGGAACCCCTGGAGAATCCCCTCCACCCACACATCCTACAGCAGAGGATGTGCCCTGCTTGGTCGACACGTGAACTGTAGGCAAGTGACCCAGATTTCTGGGACTCTGTTTCCCCACCTGCACCATGCAGTAGTTAAACAGGTGACCACCAGTGGCTCTCCACAAGCCTTTGGCAATCACATCCTCTTTGCGGAGCCTGTGGATATCTCTGAGTGCACAAACCCAGGAAAATCCACTGCACCTCAGAATGTCTCCAGGAGTGCCTGGCTGCATGCAGAATCCAGCACAAAGCAAGCCTTTCCAGAGCCACCAAGAAACCTGCACTGCTGGTGTCCATGTAATTCCCACGAGTCACCACAGCAGCTGCCTGGTCACCGTCCTGTCTATGCTCAGCAAGGACAGAGAGAGGGAGGAAGATCTTTTGCAGTTCCCTTCTAAAGCCAGAGGAAGCTTTTTTGTTTTTGCACAGCTGGGGATAGAAGTCAGGGACTGGGGCATGCTAGTGCCAAGTGTTGTGCCACTGAGCTATACTCCCAACCCCAGAGGAAGCTTTAAACTCTGAAAGAAACCACAGAAAACAGATCTGGAAAGTTACTCTCACACTACACTGTTCAGCACAGTAGCAATTAGACACACATGCAGTTACTTAAAATGAGACAGCAGAGGGTATCAAAAATGTTCAAAATACAATATTATATGTGTCTGTATATGTGTACACCAATTTCCCAAAACAAATGCAATTGCTATGTATCACAAATATTTAACAATTAATTTTCTGGTACCGGGGAATTGAACTGTGGACCTTACGCTTTTGAGGCAGGTTGCGGAACCACTGAGCTAAATCCCTAGCACTACCAATTAATTTTTAAAAATGAAATTGAAGCTGATATTTAGTTCTTCATCAGAGCTCTAGACAATGCTCCACAAGGGCTGGGCCTCGGACGAATTCACAGCTCTGTCCCTGTACCCAGCACCAGGTCTGGCCCACACAGGTATAAACGTGTCATGAATAAATGAGGGAAGGAATGAACTGACTCAGAGGTGAAAATCTTTATAGATTACAATACACCCACAGGTAAGATGTTACGGAACATGTCAACACCACATCTTCCCAGCTAGGCCACACACAGGTGGGAGCATGGCTCAGTACACTCCGGGAATTGTCACACCTTGCTTAGAGCTGGCCTCCACCTCTCGCTGGCTGTGTGACCACAGACAATAAACCTAACCTCTCTGAACCTGTGTCTCCTCATCTGTAAGATAGGGCACCAAGAGCTACAGGGCTACTGATCACTGGGAGTTTGCTTTTTCTTCTCTCAGTTGCTAGAGAAAACCATAGATCATCTGCCACCGCATTCTGCAAGAGGCCTGCCGAAATTTGGAGAATTCTCCCAAATCCCCATGTGAAGTTTCTCTCCAAATTCTCTAGAATCTATGGGTCTCAATTTCAGAATCACAGCTTCCTCTGACCTCAGCCAGCCTCATCTGAAAGGGTGATTCAGCCACAGTACCAAGGGAAGCAGTTGGCCTGGGGGCCTTTGAGAAGTGAAGCACTCCGCTGTAGAGGTCAAAAGTCCTATCAGAATGCACCATTGCTGAATTGCAAACAGCAAATTCTGCCTTCTCTAGAAGTCTCCCAGGCTGAAGGACTGACAAGGGGCACCAGTTCCACGCAGGCTGTCCCCACCTACCTGGAGTCTCTCCCCGTTCTCAGTGTCTCCACCTCCTGGCATTCTTAGCAGAGGGTCTGGAAGGTGACAGAGCAGAGTTAGAAAGCTGCTGGTGGCATAGGAGGGCCCATTCCATGACCACCCAGGGGACAAGGCTGGGCAACAGGGCCATGTGGCTGCCCAGCCCACTCCTGCCCTCCAGGAAATATGGATGCCCAAGGCCTGGGCCAGGCATGGGTTCAGGAGTCAGGGCTGCAAGTGGGAAGGACAGAACTAAAAAGAATGCCAAATCCAAGCCCTGAGCCTCAGGGATCACAGCAGGTCCCAATCACCCTGCCTACAGAGAGCTGGGTGCCCCAAGGTCAGGAAGGCAGCAACTTGAGTAATGGATTCTGGGAAGAGGCCCAATCAGGAAGCTCTGGAACCCTCTGTGGGCAAGAGGTGGGGAGAGCTGATCAGGTAGGGTCAGGCCATAACCCTCTCCCGAATAAGTCCATCGAGATAAACAATGCTGTCCAGGACACGAGCAGCCAGAACCCTGCTTTCTAGCGGGTGCTCATGAAGTCTTTGAACCTCACAGTCACAAAACACAGGGACAGATGCTACCGTGCCATGGAGGAAGGAACTGGAGGAGGGGAGTCTGGGGAAAAGCAGAAAAGCGGGTACAGGCACCTCTCAGGGGCCGCAGCCGCCTCCTGGCCACCTTCAGGTGCTTGGTCCAGCCCATGTCCTCTCCCAGCAGGTAGTACCAGCCACTGATGTCCTGTCACAAGAGAAGGAATGACACACTCAGAAAAGGGAGGCAAAGAGCTCGGGCCAAGCAGCCACCAACTTCCTTCGAAAAGCAGCAGCTGGACACCATCCCTCAGAGGACAGACACACCCCAACCTCCCTGCCCAACGCTGCCACATCCACACCTCCAGGAAGCCTTTCTTGATGCTCTGGACAAGACTGTCCTCCCCTCTGCTGACTTCCACGGCCTCTCATACTTGGAAGACAACCATCAACTTCCTCTCCGCCCCCTAGTCCCGCTAGACTATGCAAAGGCTCTCTGACCCGTCTAGCACGGAGCCTGGCATATGGTAGGAGCCCAGTAATACTGACAGAACAGACGAAACAGAGTAAAAATGGGAGAGGCCAAAGAGCAGGCTGCCCGTGGCTCCTGCAGTCTCTGTCCTACAGGACAAGAGCAATCACACCAAGAGGACCTCTGCAGTGGGCCACAGGTGACAGACACAAGGCTTATTTAGGCCACTGCCTCAGTGAGGCAGCATGTCACACACAGACGCTCGCCCAAGGATTTCCAAACCAAGGCTGCCTGTACTAGTGTGGGCCTAGGTGGAACGACACAACGCTCTGGAAGCTTCCCTGGGACCTACCTTGTTCGGAGTCAGGAGCGACCTCACCCCAAAGCTCATGCAGCCAATGAGCGCTCGCCGCCTGAGAGAGGAGCAGAGAGTCAGTGTTCCCCAAAGGGCTGTGCCAGAGCTCAGCCAGCAAGCATCCCTGTGGTCCCATGCACTGTGACTCCAAGCGCTTCCATCTGTACCAGCTCCTCTGACTCTTCCTGGTGAGCAGACAGAGAGGATTCCTCGGCAAGGCCACAGGACTAGAGAAAGGTCCCAAGGAAAGTTGAGTCCTAAGTCTTGGTGTGGCCCTCACTCTACCAACCCCAGGAGCTCAGATGACCTCACAGGTCTGAAGTGTCCCAGTGCTGGGAAGGGGGTGGGGGTGGGGGGAGAGCTGGTTCCCACAGGGGCTCTGAGCCCCCAACTCAGCCAGGGCTGAATACTCAATCTAGAGGAGAGTTACTGTACTTCAGCTCAGGAAGCTTTATCTTAGGTCCACATGGGGTCTGGGAAATTCCCAAACGGCCACAGACCCAGAGCCAAAGGTATCCAACACACAAAAGTCACCAAGACCCATCTGACCTGCCTGCCAGGCGGGCAGGCAGGCGTGAGGCAGGGCCAGCCCTCAGGGGAGCATCAGGCTATGGTGAGGGGCTAAGTTTAAGCTGGGCTTCTTGGTTCAGAGAAATTCAAAGTTCTTGAAGAGCATCTATCATGGGGTCTCAGCACTCAACAATCAGGAACTGATTAATCCTTGATAACCTTTTAATAATGTGCCATAAATTAATATTAATGAAATGCAAAAAATCCCTTACATTTATGGGACAACAGGAAGTTTACACAGTTGTAGTTTAATGAGAAAGAGACTCACAAAAAGAAAAACAATGGCTGTATGAGGTTAGTGGAATTATTAGGGATTTTTGTTTTCTTCTTTTATTGTTACTGTTTTGTATTTTCATAGAGAACAAGCACTATTTTGTAATCAGAAAATTAGCAGCCCCAAAACAAATTTAATTATTATTTATTGCAAACATACACTAATAAAAAAAAGCACTATTAATGTATGTTTAAGCACTTCAATTATAGCACGTCCTGCTCTAGCCTAACAGTAGAGTCTTTGGGGGACTGATTTCCTCTCATGTTTGGTTTTTTCCCTCCTATTCTCCCCGCTCTTATTGCATATCCCAACTCAGACTCCTTTTTAGACTGATCTAATAATCATTCATCAAAAAGCACCATGGAAGCTGGGCGTGGTGGCACACGCCTGTAATCCCAGCACTTGGGAGGCTGAGGCAGGAGGAGCTGTGCATTTTCAAAGTTCTTGAAGAGCATCTATCATGGGGTCTCAGCACTCAACAATCAGGAACTGATTAATCCTTGATAACCTTTTAATAATGTGCCATAAATTAATATTAATGAAATGCAAAAAATCCCTTACATTTATGGGACAACAGGAAGTTTACACAGTTGTAGTTTAATGAGAAAGAGACTCACAAAAAGAAAAACAATGGCTGTATGAGGTTAGTGGAATTATTAGGGATTTTTGTTTTCTTCTTTTATTGTTACTGTTTTGTATTTTCATAGAGAACAAGCACTATTTTGTAATCAGAAAATTAGCAGCCCCAAAACAAATTTAATTATTATTTATTGCAAACATACACTAATAAAAAAAAGCACTATTAATGTATGTTTAAGCACTTCAATTATAGCACGTCCTGCTCTAGCCTAACAGTAGAGTCTTTGGGGGACTGATTTCCTCTCATGTTTGGTTTTTTCCCTCCTATTCTCCCCGCTCTTATTGCATATCCCAACTCAGACTCCTTTTTAGACTGATCTAATAATCATTCATCAAAAAGCACCATGGAAGCTGGGCGTGGTGGCACACGCCTGTAATCCCAGCACTTGGGAGGCTGAGGCAGGAGGATTGCTGTGCATTCGAGACCAGCCTGGGCTACATAGTGAGTTCCAGGTCAGTCTCAACTACATAGTGAAACCCTGTCTCAAAAAAAAAAAAAAGGATATTTAGGCTGGAGCTTAACCCTCGCAAGTGAATTCAGTATCTGAAGGGCCCACATAGACCAAGGATTTGGCCTGTCCTGTGAGGCACAATGTCATAGCCAAAGGTGGCCTAGGCAGGAAGTAAAGCCCTTGCAGGCCTCACAGGAACCTGGACCACCAAGGCCAGAGCAAGGGCAGCGGTTCTGATCAACAGGGCACTACAGAACCACCTGAAGAGTCTGTCTGAGATCTGGGCTCCAGAACTTATACCTGGGGACCCAAACCCAGCTGGTCTGGGATAGGCCTGGTCATAGGAGCCTGGCAAAATCTCCCCAGGGATCCTGCAGGGCACCCACACGTCTGCCTCAGTTACAGACCAGAGGTCTGGAAGGTCTCTATAAATACATATTGTTTGGATTCTCCAGAAAAGGAGACAAGTCACTACCTGATGACAGTCCTAAGCAAAACAAAACAAGCTTCTCACAAGCACCCAAGCCCAGTGAGGAGTGGGGATGCAGGATGTGATGGATTAATCCTCCACGTTGGCACCCTGCCTGCCCATCATGCCATGAGCACAGCTATGGGTCCAGGCCTTTGTGGCCAGCTATCTCCCACCACCTGCTCTCACTGCACTCTCCCTAGGTTGTGGCTCCACCTCCTTCCCCTCCTCCTTGCCCTTTCCCATCACACTAGGCCATAGCAATGATCTACTCAAGGAGGAAAATGCAGTCACCTCAATAAAGCAGCCTTTCCTTGTCCATCTCCTCAGCCTACTGTCAAAAACAAACACTCCTCCCTCTTGGGCAGTGGCCAAGACAGCGCTGGCCGGAGTCACAGTGACCATCATAAGTGGCAGACATGCATCCAAGCTGCCTCTTAAGTCGTCCTCACAACTTGGCCAACATCCTCCTAGAGATTTTTGTTTTTTCAACACAATCAAGAAAACCCTAGCTGGCGTCTAGGTGCCCACACTGCCTTGCAGTGCACTTTCCTTTCATGCTGGCTATGGCTGAAATTTCCTAAATCTCCAGGCTAGTGCATTAGCTGTAATAAATGCTGCCTCTCCTGGCTCTTCAGTAAGTGGAGTTTTCATTCCCTGGTGCTTAGAGAATGCTAAATGGTTAATAGCCTCCCTCGAGCTTTGCTTCCTGCTAAGGGGCCTCCAATGATTTCATGATCGTTCAGGCAGAGTAAATCGTCACAATTAATGTCCACAAGCAGGAACCTCTCCCTGAGTGTTCTTCAATTAGCTACTTCTGAAGGTTGCTTTTGAAAACCCTTTGGAGGAAGAAAGAATTCTTTTATAAGCAGCCTGAGCATATGGCGATAATCCAGTCAGCCTCTAAACTTGGGACCTAGAGCTCACCCTGGAGAGGCCTGAAATTTCCCTAGGTGTAGAGTGTCTGGAACCAAGCCTTAGTTACTTCTACTGCCAAGGCCTTCGCTCATGAAGGCTTGACAAATGGGTGAATCCATCATGCCCATGGTTGGCAGGCACTGGGCAAGAAGCCGCAGTGTTAAGGAAACAAGACAAACAGGCAGGAATTTAAATAGCAGCTCACAACAGCAATACAGGGCACATCACAGGACGGGGTGAGATTGACAGATGAACAGCGCAGGCAATGCATTCTGAAGGCATGGGAGGAGAGAGGTAGTTCAGGACCGAGAGGCTGGCAGAAGGCCCAATGAGTTGAGCCAGAGAGGATGAAAGCAAAGGCATTTCAGGCTAAGGGAATAATGAGGATAAAGGCTTAGAGGTAACTTCGTGGAGCACACGGTGGAATAGTATTCAGTTTACTTTCTAATATAGGGTAAGAGACCCTCTGTAAGATGAAAACATGTTATTTAACACTTAGGATACTGAGGCGGGAGGATCATGCATTTGGTTACCTGGGCTACACAGTAAGATCCTATCTTTAAAAAAAGCAGCAACAAAAATGTGTCATGTTTTAGGGAAAGTATTTTAATTCTGCCTGTCTCTCTGACTCTCAGATCTTAAACTATTTTTATTATAGAGTTACACAACTTAATCTCAATTTGTTTTTAATTTGATGGCATAAATTGAGCACATATTTTGCCATTCATTTTTGTTCTTATGCTCAGTACCCATCATTGGTCACAAGCTTCAGACCACTGTATTGCCTCTTGAGCTCTTGTTTATCAAATGGGATAAAGGAGAGGTTACATTCCTGCAGAGCACAGCAAGCAGACCCTTCACAATCACAAAAGGTTATGTTCTTTCATTATGTGTATACATATGGGTATTTTAACTTGGTACTTACCACTTTCACTTCTCTTCAGAGGCGTTCTCTGGCCACAAGTTCTGAAAATGCTATGACTGATACGAGAAACTTCCACTTGGTTTTTACTATGTCATTAAACAGAATGTTCAAATCGTTTAGCTCTTTATGGTGTAATTAGTAAATATGATAATGTTGTGGTTATGTCTTTTTTAAAGTTATCCTTTAGAGATACACACTGATGAGATGAGATGATGTCTGGGATTTGCCTTAAAAGAATCCACTGGAGGAAGGAAAAGGGAGTGAGGCACAGATGAAATAAGATCAGCCGGGTATTGGGAAGAGACGTGGGGCTGAGTGTGCAGTGCCTTCTGCCTTTGTGTACATTTGAAAATATCTGTGATTTTTAAAAACTCACAGGACCTCAAAATTGAAACAAACCACTGCCATCTTACAGGCAAGGAAACTGAGACCCAGAGCAGGAAGGGTTTGGCCCACGGTCTCATGGCCAGGCAGAGCCAACTCCTCCCTCCAGTCTACAGCTCTGAGGCTCGGTTCTCCTCAGCGGGCACTGTGATTGATCAGCAGGATGCACTGAGATCATCTGGTCCATCGCCAGCACATCTTCGTAGATCATCTTGTTTCTCTAATATGTGTTTACAGCCGTCCCTGGGAGGACCGTGATGAGTCGCAGACCAGATGCTTCTCTCTTATCTCCCACTGGCTTCAGAACAGGATCACCACGCCTTTGACTAGACAACTGATGTAAAACTGTATCACAAATGCTCAGGCCCAAGTCCTGAGGAGCAAGCCACTGACCCAGAGGGTGTGGCTTTGGAATCACTAATCACCT